CTCTGTGCTGCTCTCCTCCTGTAACATGCGTCGCCTTCGGGGAATTGTCCCCAAACTTTGTGAGGATCATCATCAGACTTCGCTGATCTGAAGTTAATAGCGGTGTGACGAGACACTTAACCCACGAGACGAGACGAGATTCGAGATCGGGTTCACGAGATCGAAACGAGACGAGATTTTAACACTATTTTTAAGAAATCATTAGTGCTTAATTATATGAAAAATTTGAGCATTAAACGCTTTATTTCCTGCATTCCGATGAATCTTTCTGCCCCAGTTTAGGGTGATTTTTATATATGTACAGAATAAAAAGATTACAAAGTTCAGGTGGCAGGTGACGATTCTAAATCTATAGCCCAACTCTACCAGAATCTAAGTCAGTGCTGCTCTCAGATCTGTTTCTCCTGTAGATCAACTTATTTAATCTCATCCCTGCTGAGTCAGGATTCAGTCTTCCCTCCTCTTTGTGTCTCTGTTTGGGGAAGTCACCTCTTTAAATGGGATTGTGGCTCCTTTTCACCTCAATGTGAAATTATTTAGTGTTAATTCAGTTAGAAACTCCTGGACTTCAACAGCTCCTGTGTTTCAGCAGATTTTCTGCTCATGGTCAAAACTTTCTGCACATTCAGAATCTCTCCCACAGATCTGGGTTCTCTGACGCGTCCAGACTAACGTCGTCATTTACTGAGAAGTCTAGCTGCCCTTTACTCTGCGCTGCATTACGTTATTGATCCGCTGGTAGTAACGTTATCCCCTTCAGACCGTTTGGCCGACGCAGGTTGGGACTGCATGTTGCTTGTGAAACCTAAAGTAACACTTGTGATCAGGCAGAAATCTCAGCACAGATCCACACAGGTTAACTTCAGCAGCTCATAAAGCAGGCTGCTCTTCAGTTTTTAGATGGTTATGTTGCAAAACTCTACCAGCTACGTTCCCACTCGTCACAGCTGTCTGCAGTTGATTACTATCGGGGCTACGCCGGTGTGGCGTCAGCCGGGCGGAGTTGATTCGCTCTGCGAGTCTATCTATCAGTTATACATTTGTATTTCACTGCGGGAGAAAATTAATGTGCGGCTTGACAGCGTGTGAAAAATGTAATTTGTGTGAATCTCGAGAGACAACTTTTTACCTCACCAGAAATATCGTCACAGTTTAATCAAGCGAGATCTCGTGGCATAATACGTTCTCTAGATGGCAGATATTGTGTGTTTCGAAGGGTTTTATCTTCTGGATCTTGCTGGGATTTGTACCGTATGCACAACATTTGCTTTTTTGCTCCGTGTGGCAGCAAACGTCACTAAAGTATTTGACAAAAACTCCAAAGTAGCAGAATGATGTGTGTATTTATTCAGAATTTATCACCACAACACACAACACACGTTGTTTTAAATTTAAAGGGACAAAGATATCTGAGTCCGGCACATGTGATGTCATTGTGAGAAGGTGTTTGAGAACCAGATCTCACCTCTGGCTCGTTCAGTCTTGCTCTGGGGTACGAAGGTCAAGCGTTCACATCTCCAGGTGGCGAATCTTAGTTGCCAACAATGGGGGAATTCATCCATGTGGTGTGTTTTCATTTACCACCCACAGTTTAAAAATGTTGGTGTATATTTTTATTTAAGTTGTAAAACAAACATCAGCTGATATGTTTTTATCTGACATTCAGCCAATGTTGTCCTCACAGATCCAGGATCAGTCGAGCTTAGACAGAACTCAGCTGTTTCTAAATTCAGACATGTTCAATCACTTTTTACATAAAACCATCAATTTTTTTTGTGGCAAAGAATCTATCTGCATTTACACTCATAAAGGAAGATGTCTCTCTTTTTCCATCCTTCCTTGTTTGTTTCCATTACTGTCATGTGTTTCAGTGTAATATGATGTAACATCCTGACCGAGACGCTTCTTCAAACACACCGTTATGATGTCAGTGATTTGAAATGCACGAGGCTGCTCGTTTTCTGGATGTATGAATGGATGAGATTGGACAAGATTCACATTTGCGCCCTGACTGTTTTTACTGTCATGTGTTGTTTTATAATACTGCAAGAAATGTTCAAAGGCGACTGAGAAAAACTTTAAATGAAAAATCATTCATACTTCAGTGATTAAAGTTTATCATAGTGCTCCCTGTTAGTGTTTTGTAGGTCAGTTTGTTATGTTTGCTTTCTGAGTGAGAACTGTTGCCAGTGTTTTGGTTGAACGAGTTTATTTTGAGACATGTATGAAGTGTTTTGGTGGTTTGTGTGACTTTTGGAGGTGAGATTAACTGTTTGGCCAACATGCATGTTGGTAATGCAGACTGTGTGAAGAGTTGTGATAATACGGCTTCAGTTTTGACCATTGCATCCTAGCAACTGAAAAAAAAACTGTAAGATATGTAGAGATGTTGTTGTTTCACAAATATCACAAATGCATCGCTGTTCTTTTTTCTATTTTTTAACATATCAGTCGATATATAAACGTTAGGGTTGGTTGAGCGCGCAGGCAGAAACAGCGAGTCGAGCCTAAATGCAGACGCTGAACAAGGTAGGATCTGTTTGCTGGTTTATTTAACCAAAGAAATAACTTAGAGTGCAGTCCAAACAACAGCAGGGGGATCCATTCTGAGGAACAATAATCCAAAAAAAAGAATAGTCCAAATCACAGCAGAACAAGCAGGAACGCTCATCATCGATGAACAAACAAACTGACAAGAACAAGCAAACCTAAATAGTGCAACAGAGGGGGGGGGAGGGTAATTGAACACAGGTGGGACGCGTTAGGGATCAGGACAGACAGGAAGCCAAGCTAACGATATGAAGTGTTCATACATGAAAATGACATCAACGAGCAAAAAGACTGAAATCCTGCTGTTGTGGATCCATAAAGGAAAGTCTGTCATGTTTAACAGCGTCAGCAGCGGATTTAAGGAAACTGGACCTCTGCGTCTGTCTGCAGAGTTGGCGCTCAAACACGTTTTACAGCCTGCTGTATTCTAAACCTCGGATGATGATGCCGTTAGGCTATATGAATACAGTTATGGAGCGAGAAATTTCCCGTGCACACCAACAACAGTCAGGTGCTGGAAGATCGCAGGATTTAGCAAATAAAAATCAAAAACAAGCCTTCGGACACTGAGATGACTTTACTGTGATTATTGTGAACAACGCGTTTCGCCTGTTCCTTCTTCAGGTTCTATGTATTTTATTACATACATAATTAGGAATTAGGAAGTGTAATCAAAGTGTAATTAATACATTTATTTATTTTCAAACTCATTGTAATTAAATAACTAATCAAATTAGTGAAAATCATAAGCAGGGGCTCAGGGCCATATTAATCGCACATATGAGGTCTGAACAGCTTATTAATTAAGTTCTCCTAAATCAGTACACATTAGAACAAATCTGGTGGTACCATAGGTTGTTGCACGTGGTTCTTGCATCAGGCTGAATATTTTTCAATATAAAGATTTCTTTAAGATTAAAGTTCCCCAGTAGTAGATTCATAACCTCTTTCTAGTTTATACATCTGGTTCTGTCAGCTTCTCTTAGGTTGTATTAGTTTGTGACAGGTTGTACCGGGTTTTACTTTGTCAGGTTCTATCAGGTTCCCTCAGGTTCTATCATGTTCTATTCATTACTACTCTAGTTCTACAGTATCAGCTTTTATTAGGTTCTGTCATGCTAAACGGGTTCTATTAGGTTTTATCTAATTCTGCTAAGTTCTAAAGTATCAGCTTATTTTGGGTTCTGTCATGCTTTAACATGTTGTATCAGGTCTGACAGGTTCTATCTAATTCTGCTAAGTTCTACAGTATCAGCTTTTATTGGGTTCTGTCATGCTAAATGGGTTCCATCAGGTTCTATCTAATTCTGCTAAGTTCTACAGTATCAGCTTCTATTGGGTTCTGTCATGCTAAATGGGTTCCATCAGGTTCTATCTAATTCTGCTAAGTTCTACAGTATCAGCTTCTATTGGGTTCTGTCATGCTAAATGGGTTCCATGAGGTTTGACAGGTTTTATCTAATTCTACTAAGTTCTACAGTATCAGCTTCTATTGGGTTCTGTCATGCTAAATGGGTTCCATCAGGTTCTATCTAATTCTGCTAAGTTCTACAGTATCAGCTTCTATTGGGTTCTGTCATTCTAAATGGGTTCCATCAGGTTTGAAGGGTTCTATCTAATTCTGCTAAGTTCTACAGTATCAGCTTCTATTGGGTTCTGTCATTCTAAATGGGTTCCATCAGGTTTGAAGGGTTCTATCTAATTCTGCTAAGTTCTACAGCATCAGCTTCTTTTGGGTTCTGTCATGCTTTAACATGTTGTATCAGGTCTGACAGGTTCTATCTAATTCTGCTAAGTTCTACAGTATCAGCTTTTATTGGGTTCTGTCATGCTAAATGGGTTCCATCAGGTTCTATCTAATTCTGCTAAGTTCTACAGTATCAGCTTCTATTGGGTTCTGTCATGCTAAATGGGTTCCATCAGGTTCTATCTAATTCTGCTAAGTTCTACAGTATCAGCTTCTATTGGGTTCTGTCATGCTAAATGGGTTCCATCAGGTTTGACAGGTTTTATCTAATTCTACTAAGTTCTACAGTATCAGCTTCTATTGGGTTCTGTCATGCTAAATGGGTTCCATCAGGTTCTGTCTAATTCTGCTAAGTTCTACAGTATCAGCTTCTATTGGGTTCTGTCATTCTAAATGGGTTCCATCAGGTTTGAAGGGTTCTTTCTAATTCTGCTAAGTTCTACAGTATCAGCTTCTATTGGGTTCTGTCATGCTAAATGGGTTCCATCAGGTTTGAAGGGTTCTATCTAATTCTGCTAAGTTCTACAGCATCAGCTTCTATTGGGTTCTGTCATGCTAAATGGGTTCCATCAGGTTTGAAGGGTTCTTTCTAATTCTGCTAAGTTCTACAGCATCAGCTTCTATTGGGTTCTGTCATGCTAAATGGGTTCCATCAGGTTTGAAGGGTTCTTTCTAATTCTGCTAAGTTCTACAGCATCAGCTTCTATTGGGTTCTGTCATGCTTGAACAGGTTCTATCAATTTCTAACAGTGTTGTTAATGTTCTGCAGGGTCCTCCAGGTCCTACGGGGCGGCAGGGCCCTCCAGGCCCCCCTGGCTTTCCGGGCCCCCAGGGGCCTGCAGGAGAGAAGGGCCAAAGAGGAGATGAGGGTCCAATAGGAGCTGCAGGACCGAAGGGAGACGTGGTGAATAAACATGGTTCTATTGTAAACATGATGGTTCTTTTTGTTCTTCTTGTTACAGTTTGTTTTAGTTTGACCAATCACAGGTCTTCCAGTCTCCATGTGGTACCTGAACCCGACACGTAACCCTGTACCTCAGTTTTTAACGCTGTCATGCTGTGTGTTGTTTCAGGGAAGTGCTGGTGTTCCTGGTTTTCCAGGTTTAGAAGGACTCCCGGTAAGAAGCCCCACCCCCCCATCCTCTCAGCTGCTCTGATTGGCCCAGGTACAGTTCAAAAGGTCAGACTCTGAGCATGTGTTTGTATGTTCAGGGTCACCCGGGTCCTGCCGGAGGACCTGGTTTTCCTGGGCTGGACGGATGTAATGGAACCAGAGGAGACAGAGGAGGTCCTGGACTTCCTGGAGAATTTGGACCTGACGGAGAACGGGTCAGAAACAACATATATTTAATTAAAATGTCTCTGTGATGATCATGTCAATTATAGAACTCTTCAAACATGTAGAGTTAAAGATATTCATCTCATGTAACAGTACTGTGTATGCATGTAAGAATACTACAAAGTACACAGCGTACTGTAGTTTAAAGGTGCAGAGTACTGTAGTATTAAGAAAGGGCGCCCCGATCAATCAATCACCGATCGTATTCGGACGATAATGGCTTTAAGTAGTTTAGGCCGATAAGAAAAGGCGATCAGATGATGCAATACTCGCCAGACAAATTTTCAACGGCAGCTAACATGTTTCACTACGCGGTCTGAGCGGTTTTCAAAGCTAGCTAGTCCTTTTCAGACAGGAAGCGACTGATCAGTCATGCGGTATTTTTATTAAAATATACGTACTGTGTAAACAACACTTAACAGTTAGCCTGCATATCGCTTTGTTTACTTTGCGACGACTCCCAGTCTGTTTCCCGCCGCTGGCTGCCATCTCTCTGTACTTTCAGTACCAGTTCCACTTCGTTGTCTAAAAGAAGGCCCGGTGTGGTTCTTCGTCTGTATTATTTTACCGTTATTTAACTTATTAATTATTTACATATTACTTTCTGCTTTCGCTAAATGTTCTGCAACTGCGCAGTAGACCATCTGCTTCACGTGTACACTGGCTCGTGCACGCCCAGTGTGGGCTACCTGAACGGCCACTAGATGTGTGTTTTCAGTCGTTTTAATATGACGGAGAGCAACTCTGATACGCAGCTGAAAACCGTAGCAGTGCGGATGTAGTCTCATATTACCCCACTCCTCTCATGTCAACCCTCCTGCTTTCCCCGAGATTCTCCCGTATTCTCCGTTTTAAATGTTTCCCTGTAAGTCGCCCGTATCTTTAACCTTTATAAAATCAAATGAAAACCTGCTGGCCGTATTTAAAGTGTTTGCTACTCTCTCCTCTGGTAAAGTCGGTGGCAGCAAGTAAGATATGTAGACTGTGTTTCGTGCACAAGGATTAAATAAATGAGGCCTATAACCTACTAGTGGTAAACCATATGAAATTATAATGAATATAGTAGCCTAACTATAAGTAATATTAACAATATATACTAACAGTATAATATGGAATTAACATTGTACTTTTATTTATTTAAATTTTCCTTATTTTCAAATCTCATTGAAGGCAGTTCTGACTCCTCTCTGTATTTCTCTGAGTTTTTCATCGACTCATGATCCCTGTGCTCCTTCATCTCCTAATTATTTTGGCTACAGCCTTTTTTGTTGCAGCTTTTATGGTTTTAGTAAACTTATAAAGATGCTTTGTAGTTTATTCCACAGGAAAGCTGTATTTGTTAAGCAATAACCAGGCAAAGGCTGCTGTGGTTTAAGTCTCCAAGACAGATTGAGTGTAATTTGTTGCCCATGTTTCCTGCCAATAAAATAAACAGTTGCCATTTCGTGATACTTTATCATCTGTTCATTTTAACACTTAATACATTGTTCTTAGGACTAATTAAATAAATATACAGTATACTGAATAATGCTACATGATAAATAAAAGGCTTCAAATAGACCCAGTGATCGGAGCACCTCTAAGTAATGACCATGGTAACTATGTTTTAATCTGCAGGGTTTACCAGGACTGAAGGGATTTCGGGGAGATCCAGCGGTCTTCTTCATACAGTACCCTGGAACAACTGTAAGTACACCTGTACTATAAGTAAACATATACGTACATATACGTATACATACACTCGTGTGTGTGTAATTATATTTATGTATCAGATTAACAGCTAGTTAGTTCATTAGCGAGCGTCACGGCTCACATACACAGTAACTCAACAACTATTGGATGAATGATGTGTACTGCAGTTACTAAATATTCTTTTCATAATGCCAGGGTCAGCCAGAATGCAGACAGGCTTTTGGGCTCAAATGCAGACACTTTTTATTAAATAAACAGGTGAAAACCTGGTCCAAAACCAAACACATATCCGGAAACTCACAGGTAGGAATCCACAGATCCGGTATGTTAAGCCAGAGTGTTTTAGGTCGGATACACAGGCGTTTAGTGTATTTAAGAAAATAAAGTTACCGGAGCTAAGATGAACATGTCTTACTCCTCCATCGCTCAACAGCGCCCCCATTTCAAGACATTTATGTGTATAGTATTTTATTATGATGATGATATTGTAAAATAGAAATTCAATGTGTTTGTTTTGCAAGACTCCTCCAAACTGGATGGAGTTGACGGAGAAGAAATTTATATATTTATGGTATGATATAAAATGGGTTCTCTGTTGTTTCTAAATTTTCGTGGGTGAAACTACAACGCTGCATCGCTTTAAATGTTCCAGCGGGACGGCACTACCTCCTTTCCTTTCGTAAAGGATGGTCCGGTGTACCCTTTGCTAAAGGAGATAAGAAAGGAAGCACTGAAGCACCTTTCCTTAGCTTTTATAGAATCCGACCATGGCTGCCACTTCACTCAGTTAGAAAAAGACTATTTGACCTCAGCCAAAGTCCTTATAAAGGCATGTCCCGCCACTCGGCAGCCATCTTGGTAACGTCTCCAGGGAGTTTCTTGGGACTAACAGGATCAGATCTCTCTCTAAATGAACGGGCAGAGAACCAAAACTGGGGACATAAAACCTGCATATGTCACAGGTTTGTAGAGTTGAGCAGGTTGGCGGATCCAAACGGAGGACACAGAGCAGGTTCAGTCCAGAAAGGTTTATTTAACACAAAGCGAGCACACTTACTAGTGGCTGAGTCCAACGAATCCAGCATAACAAATCAATACAAAAGGAACAGAGTAATCCCACGGAAAATCCATAGGCGGGGGGGGGGACAAGCAGACAGAGGAGACTCAGAACTACAGGCTTCACACCACAACACACTTAAATGACCGGACAGAGACTGAACAGGAACGGCAAACATTTAACACCAGGGACTAACGAGAGGGCGGGAGAAACACGGGAGAACACTGAACACGAGGCACAGGCAACAAGAGAAGAAACATACTGGAACACAGAACAGATTAAAAACTAATCATACAGATAGACTACAAAACCTAACAGGAAAAACAGACTGAACTAAGAACCAAACATGGAGCAGACATGGGCAAAATAACGAATACCAAAGTACCAGGAGTAAATACTAAGACATGAACTAAATCACAGGACTAAGCAGTAAGACAAGAGAACAGAATAAGAACCAACAATCTGAAAACATTTGAGGACTTTGTCCCAAAGTAAGTTTTTCTCCACAGGCTATACTTCTACTACGCATGCACAAGCTTTCACCACAACGCCTTCATTTACGGCTCTATCCAGAGTGCCGGTGACGTGACGCCATGAGCTCATCCCACTGGTTATGTAAATGTAAATGCTAGACTTTTCAACCACTCAAAGCACTTTTACACACACATTCATACACTGGTGGAACAATTCAGGGCCTGGAGGAGCCGGGGATTGAACCGCCGATTAACAGGCAACCCGCTCTTCCCCCTGAGCCACAGCCGCCCCAGTTATGGATACAGTCAGCATCCCGTATACGTTTACAGAAGGCAGCCTGGTATTTTATAACACACGCACATCTAACACACACATCACGTGTGGCGCCTTTCCACGCAGTATTTGGCGACATGTAGTCAATCTGATCTGTTCCCATCTCCCACAGAAAACTCTGCTCTGAACTGAAAACAGCTCGTTTATAGTCCAGCCGCTTCCCTTTCATCCCTGTGACGTCACAGGGATGAAAGCTAAACGCGCCTCATATAACGCTCGCCGAGCGGCTACTCCGACACGCCCTCAGAAACAGCGAGCTGCAGCACACAGCTCTCCTCTCCCTTCCAAACACTAGCTACCCTCCAGGCAGTCAGTGGACATGAAGTTGTTCCTGTGATGTAGAGACAGAGCTCAGTTAAAACTTTATGGATACAGATTAATAACTCACCGCTCTGAAACTCTCGCTCCAGTCCGTGTTGCCGAGCCGGTCGGCAACACGTACGGCTGAACCCGAGCTGTTTACCGGCTTCTCGCCGACCCGCCCTTCTCTGCTTCTGATTGGCTAGTAGTCCTTAACTAGGAACTGAGCATGTGCAGCTCTCAACAAAGATCGTGTAGAGACAAGATGTATCACTCCATAGCTAAAACGAAGCCTTCAACACAGGCTGAGAAGAGGAGCTGCAGCAATGTGCAGTATGACAAAAATATAACCATGTAAACCTGCTCTGGTACAACCTCTAAATAAGATGATGAACCTGAAAATGAGAAGAATATGACCACTTTAAACAGTCTCTGACCGCGACACCAGGGACAAAACAACCTCAAAGAAAAACAGGAAACAGCACAAATGAACAAATGACAAAAGGACACTGAGACAGGAAGCGCAACACACCAAGACACGAGAAGAAGAAGAAGAAGAAGAACAGCAACATCCAAAACATCAAGAACCCCAAAACCGAGAAACATAATCAATCAATCAATCTGTTGATCAGTGTCTTGGCTAATCGACTAAACTCAATGTCTTGTTTTGTCCACTCAAAACTGGACAGATATTCAGTGTACTGAGATATAAAATAGATTTACTTCAATTAAAGATTTATCCATTATTAAATTCTTTCTATGACAACCACGGATTATGGGATGTTTTTGTGTCTGACAGGGGGAAGTCGGGCCCCGTGGACTTCGTGGTCTGCCGGTGAGTACAAACACAAACAAGTACATTTACTCTACTCAAGTACAACAATGAGTTACTTGTTGTACACTACATTTCAGAAGGAAGTATTGTACTGTGTACAGTACTTCTGAGTGTTGGCTGCTGGAACAAAGGGCGGCTTTGTTCTACATTTTGGGATTATAAACCTATAAAAGCACGGTAGAACAAGGTCATTGTGGTTTTTTCAACGTGGAAATGGGACAGTTTCCTCAAAGAAAACAAACGCCGGAACTCTTTTTGCACACGACTTCACAGCTTTCAGTTCAGTTTGGAGACGATAACTGTTCCAAGATATTTCAGCCTGTTCTTATTCCCAGAGCGTCAGATAGCTACTCTTTGTCACGTCTTCCGGCGTCCGGTACCAACTCACATGGCAGCCTTTCTTGTCATAATTCAGTGCACCGGTGGAAGCCCTTTAGAGCCATTGTTCAACCATAAAAGTACTATTATACACATATACCGATTTTGCACGCCTGTCGAGAATTATATGAAAATGCATTAAAGTTCTGCTTTTAAACGCCATACTATTCTTTGTGGGGTTCATCAATGTGATAAATGATCAGTATATATTTTATGAACGTTAAGAATCGTTAATATATTATTACACTTAGTAAAAGTACCATTTCTTGAGATTCAGCAAAAACATGTGGCGTTCAAACAGCAAAGTGTCCTAAAAGGACCTTAAGAAGTGAATGCATAATTCGCCAAAACAGATGTTGAAGGCTACCTGCCGAAATTTGCATCCGCCTCTTTTCTCAGTATAACAAAGCGTTGCCTCCCGCGAGGTGTGACGTCACTAGAGGCCTCATCATTGTTATAAACTCACGCAGTCTACCGGAGGTAGATTTGTGTCTGACTTGGTTGAAGATACTGGAAGACGTTCCAGTATCTTCAACCAAGTCCAGTTGCCCTTGACTTTAACCTTCGTTGGATAACTATGACCTGGATGACTGAGAATCTTCATAGACACACTCGTTGCTCCAGAGGCGTGCGACCTCTGACATGAATAGCAGTTGTAAGTCGCTTTAGATAAAAGCGTCAGCTAAATGAATAATTATTATTATCTTGACCGCGGAGCCCTAGACATACAAAAACGATGTTAATGGGAACCCAGGGGCGTTAAAAAGTGACGGCAGGTGGTGTTGACCAAGAATTCACATGTGACGAGTTGGGAGTTAGAACGTTAAGTTATAAGCGACACGTTCTCCCGACTCACATCTTGACCGCCAAAGGGCCTTGACCAAGCGTCAATATGTGACGCTTGGTCAAGGCCCTTTGGCGTCGCTTTCTACCACCCTGGGTACCCCTTTAGCGTCATTTTTAGACATTTAAGGCTCCGCGGTCAAGTTAGCAACGCTTAGCAACAATAAACATGCAATGTCCGGTTAGACTTTTAAAATAAAACGCCAGTGTTTCGAAACATCGCCATTTTGATTCACGACATCATTAAAGTCGTGAAATGTGGCAGTTTGGTTGGGTTTAGGAACAAAAACTACTTAGTTAAGGTTCGGAAAAGATTCTGGTTTGGGTTAAAATAACTACGTAAGTTAATGTCAGGGATACAGGGATCCCCAGTGCGTTACAAACTGCCGATGGGTCTCGACCACGCGTCCATATGTGACGAGTCGGGGAGGGAGAACGGGTTGTGATAACATAAGTTACTAAGATTTTACATTTTGTAAAATATGAGGAATCGTAATTCATAAAATCAGCTTATTGATTCATTTCAGTCCTTCGTGTGTTTATCTGTGACAAAAGCTCCAATTTTCTAAAATTAAATTGTTCATAATCTCTGTCTTTTTTTGTTTGAAGTTTCAGACGGACTGATCTAATAACAACAACAGATTTCTTTATGAAAATGTAGTTTTCTGGTCATATTTACAGTATGACATGAAAATTACATTTAGCTAATAATACTTTAGTACTTGTAGCAGTTTGATTGCAGCTGTTACTTGTAATGAAGTATTTTTGTGTGGTATTACTACTTTTACATAAGCAAAGAATGATATATGCTGACAAAAAGACGACTTACATTTCAAGTGTGTGTCTGCAGGGTGAACAAGGTCGCCCTGGTCTGATCGGAGCTCCGGGTCCTGCAGGACTGGACGGGACCAACGTGAGTCACAGAAACACAAATAATTAACGATAACTATAATATAATTTACTCAGTTAAGACTCATAGAAGTGACATGTTGTAGTATATAGTATTATCTTCTGCTAACATCTGTCTCTCGCTACAGGGTTTCCCTGGTCGGCCTGGTTCCAGGGGTTCACCTGTAAGTATTATATGTACATATAGAAAGTTTTATTATTTGTAAATTTTACGTGATGATAATTTAGTAAGAAGTCTAGTTTAAACTGAGCTTCTGACAGTCTGTGCTGTTACTGATTATTTAAATACCAGCGTTTATTTATGTATATTTATAGTTTAAATTTAGCCCAGAAAATGTGAAACGAAGGTTTTCTTCTAACTGCAGCTCAGAGACCTTTAACTGTTCTGATGATAGATCACAGTATTTGTAAAGTATTTGATAACAGGTGAACATCTAACAGGCGCTGTTGTTTCTGTTTCAGGGGGAAAAAGGTCGATCCCTGCCCGGACAGAAAGGAGATGAGGTAAAAATGTTCAGGGAAAAAAAACAAAAAACGTTTTCTGGCCACGCCCACTTCAGTGACATCACAGCAGGTGTTTTCCTTCTGACAGCTGCAAGAATCACCTGCAGTGACATCACTGAGGGGGCGTGGCCAGAAGAACAACAGTCGGGAGACTGTAAAGCTTCAGAGAGCAGAACTTACTGTTTAGTTACTGTAGTAGTCCTGTGGCAGTAATGCTATACTGCATAGTACTGTGTAGTACTGTGCAGTAGTAGTATTAAAGTTCTGTGTGTGGTCCACAGGGTGAGCAGGGCCCCCAGGGGCCACCGGGGCCGTTTGAGTACGTCGACCCTCCAGAAGACCTGTACATCAAAGGAGAACAGGTGGGTGGGCTTCAGTGTCAGACAGCCAATCAGATTACAGATTAGACAATCAGGTTAGACAGTATTTAGTACTACTGTCATTTCACCGTGGTTCTACTGCAGTACTACTGTCATTTTACTGTGGTTCTACTGCAGTACTACTGTCATTTCACCGTGGTTCTACTGCAGTACTACTGTCACTTTACCGCGGTTCTACTGCAGTACTACTGTCATTTTACTGTGGTTCTACTGCAGTACTACTGTCACTTTACCATGGTTCTACTGCAGTACTACTGTCATTTCACCGTGGTTCTACTGCAGTACTACTGTCATTTTACCGTGGTTCTACTGCAGTACTACTGTCATTTCACCGTGGTTCTACTGCAGTACTACTGTCATTTTACTGTGGTTCTACTGCAGTACTACTGTCATTTCACTGTGGTTCTACTGCAGTACTACTGTCATTTTACCGTGGTTCTACTGCAGTACTACTGTCATTTTACTGTGGTTCTACTGCAGTACTACTGTCATTTTACTGTGGTTCTACTGCAGTACTACTGTCACTTTACTGTGGTTCTACTGCAGTACTACTGTTATTTCACCGTGGTTCTACTGCAGTACTACTGTCATTTCACCGTGGTTCTACTGCAGTACTACTGTCATTTTACTGTGGTTCTACTGCAATACTACCGCAGATGCGATTTTTGCGTGTCTACTGTGGTTCTACTGTACTTAGTCCATGGCTGTGCTACACTTCTGGTTCTGTTTGTTCTAATGTGGGGTTCTGCTGGTTCTTCAGGGTCCTCAAGGTGTTAAAGGTGTCTGTGGAGTTCAGGGACAGCCGGTAAGTTCAGATACCAGATCAGACCACTAACATCCAGCTGGAGGAACACTCGGTCCAGGGTTCTCCCGTGTTCTACTTCAGTCAGAAGTTTATTGGTTGATGAATGTTCTACATTTAGACACGTTTAGTATTTAGTTCATTATCAGATGAGAGCAGAATATAATTGATCACATATCGATTACTGTGCATAAAGAGGATCTGTGTTTCAGGGTTTGGACGGTCTGCCAGGGATCAAAGGAGAGAAGGGGATTCTGGGGTTTCCTGGACCCAGGGTGAGTAACCCTCCTTCACAGTATTGATCAGTACTCCCTGTAAATGTTGCCCAGAATAAACCGATTGAATTGAGTTTGTTGTGGTGTTCTTCACGATACGACCAGAGGTTTAGTCTGGGTGTGGTAGTACAGACTGTAAGTTAGCATGCTAACCAGCTAGCCCGGCCCGTCCTGTGCTGTAAGACCACTTTGGTACCTGGAGAGGTGACAGCCAGAGACTGCAGCTCAGGCCTCCCTATAGTTTCAGCTGGGAGATGTGTAAATATAACAGAAGGGAAAATGTTCTTTCACCTGTTTTCCTAATCAAACAGAAGTCAGGTTTCTGTCTTTCACTGGACTAATCGCCTCGTGAACTCATCCTGAAACACACTTTATCCAAACTCCACAGAAACAATGAAGCTCACCAAGCCGTCGGGGTTAGTCTTTCCACTCCAGCTCTGCTTTGGTGGAAATAAACCTTTAATTCAGCGAGTTAGAAGTGAAAACATTCTGCCTTCCTTGCCCGAACCGTACTGTACTCGTCAAACTGGAGTCCGTCGGTCTTAGAAGCTGTGCTGAGCCCGGCTCTGGTTCTGGTGCTCATTTTGTACTCAGTCAGCTAATAGGACTACTAAGTTTGCATCACTGAGCTAACTAGCTAACAGCAGTTAGCATCAGTTATGACCTGATATGCGATGTGCTGCCTCCTGTTCTCATGAAGAGAGCCTCAGTTGTGACAGACTGACCTTTAAGAAAGTTTTAATGAATAAATGACAGTGTGAAAGATTTACAGTAAACTTCATCCTGATGAAAGTGTGAACATGGACTCATGATAAACACGTGTGCGATGTGTTTGTGTGTTTCAGGGATTATCTGGTTACACCGGGCTGCTCGGAGAGAAAGGGTTCAAGGTGGGTCAACAAACCGTCTTTGTGATTTTACTCAACTTCAGGGCAGCGACTTATTTTAACAAATTACACTGATTATTCAGAGTCGCATGTCGGGTTCATTAAACTATAAAAATGTTTTGTTTTAAAGTAGTCAAACTTCCCCATTTCAGTGTTTATATCTTTGGTGATACGAACTGATTTTCATCCTTTTATTGTGATTTTAATTGGACTCTTGGAAGACAAATCTCACGCTAAAACATCCCAACACAATAAATATTGACTGAGACGGACCTGAAAAACACTGTTCCTCTATCTATATACTAATACAGTGCGAATCATACGGTGACAACCAGGTGTGGGGGGGGGGGGGGGGTATTTGGGTCTCTGTAAATGATATCAAACAGAGTCCTGTCTGGACCTGCTCTGTATAAAAAGTGCAGCGAGAAGCCTTTTGTTATGAATTGGCGCTACATAAATAAAAGTGAACACATTTAAAGTAACAAACCTGGACTTTAACATTTACCTGGGCAGGAAAACCTCCTGAATCCCAGAGTGGAAACAAACATCATGCTTATTGTAGAAAGACTCACAGAATACTTGAAATAATAAACTCTGTCTCGATGTCAAAATGTGGATCTGCAGTAGCTAATCCTCAGTTCACTGCTCCTGCCTGAGCACCAGTGTTGGCTAACAGTTACAGAAAATATGAACTGACAGGGTGGCTATCAGCTAACATCAGGTGACTCATTTAAAGTAAAATAAATGCTAATTATGAACCTCTGAAGGTGGGAACTTTAGTGTATTAAAGCAGCTAGACAGCTCAGTGCTGACATTAACCTGCAGCGTCTGGACTGGAGCAGCTGCCAGCAGACAAGATGTTCAGCTAACGTCCAGGTTAGGAAATGGTACGGTCCATTTTAGGGGTGTCAGAAATCCTATTTCAAGACTCTTGAATATAAGGCATGAGGATGGGAAAGATATTGTAATATTTACAATTACAGGTAAGAACGACCCCCTGAACTGTTGTTTTTGCATCTTTTGGGGGGGTCCAAGCCTTAATTAGGGGGTCAGACCCCCCCAATTCCCCCCGTAATTCAAACCATGTATATACATCTGTCAGCCAATCAGAAACCAGGATTTCCTCTGTTTTAATGGTGTGTGTTTTCTCAGGGGAGTGAAGGAAGTCCAGGTCTCCCAGGTCTGATTGGACGAGAAGGCCCTAAGGTCAGTCTGTTAAGGTCACTTATGTAGGAAACACCTTTGTAATGAAATTGATGTGTTTGAACTAAAGGAAAACAGCCAGTGAGGGGCGAGCTCCTGTCAAAACCCACAGACTGTATTTAAAGGTGGACAAAGCCAAAATATCCCCAATCAGGGCCCTGCCATCCTGCGCTGGTGACGTCATTTGGAGCCAATAGGGATCGGGGGTGGAAGCCGTGGTATCAAGGTTCCAATCGTGAGCAGGACCTCAGCTGTCAATTTTATAAAGTCAAATTGCTCATTTAAACTACAAAACGATTCTCTTCTCGCTGATGAACAAACATCAGTGCGATGAGAACGACCTGAAATTACACATTTTCCCAAAGATGGTTTCTATGTCCCATCCGCTAAAGCCTGTACTTCTGAGTTGAATCTACACCGTAGCCTGACGCGTAGCCTGCTTCCCAGAAAATGTAACTACACGCATGGCGACGCAGACCGCAAGCACTGTGATTCGTCAGCTTGGTAGCATCGCAAAACTAAACTAGAGGCTGTAACACAGTGGATCTATTTTTTATACGTTTATTATTTTACCCCCATTCAAGTTAGCGGAGGGCTAAACCGGACGTTAGCCAGCTTCTCCGGCCAACAAGGTGGACGCTATAACGCTACTGCCAACTAGCGTTTCGGCTGTGTAATTGCAGACAGCAACGCACAAATATAAATGTTTGGCTAAGTGCGGCGCTTACAGCGTAGGGTGCGGCGTAGAGTGGACAATAAAGCAGGCTTAACATGGGGGGGGGGGCAGGGTTTATGATCTATACTGCAGCCAGCCGTGAAGTGTCATGTTGTTACCTTTTATAATAGGTGGGTTTGAGATGACTTGATAGTCAAACGTGAGCTGCTGGCGACTGAAGGGGCGCGGCATAAAAACACTGGCGTCAAGGCGGACACATTCTGCTTCCTGTAGAGTGCGTGAGCTTAGAACAAATACTGATCAGGCAAAACGTGGTTCCCACTTAGTCGCAGAAAAGCGACTGCAGTCGTCAGACGCTCAAACCTGCAGCCGCCTTGCTCCCGCGAGGTGTTTTTATCATGTGACATGGTGACGTTGTGCAGCGCCGGCGAAAGTCAACACAACATTTTTTTTAACCTGTCTGTAATGAACCTGTCTGTTCCCAGGGCATGATGGGAGATCCAGGTCCTAAAGGCCTTCCTCAGGTCGCAGACGTCACACACAAAGGTACGGATCAATACACGCTGATCGATCAGCTGACTGACGATCTGTCTTTGTCTGCTTGGTACGATGTCATCACTCTGGCATGATGTCATCACTCTGGCATGATGTCATCACTCTGGTTTGGTTTTGTTGTTATTGTTTTTTGTAAAATAAAAGCGAAATACATTATCTATCATACTGTTATCACTCACATACCAGCGTGTGATAGTATACATTGTATAATTATTACTCCTATGCCAAAATGATAGTAACATCAGGGTAAGTATTACTAAACCTACTGAGAATATTCACATGGATGGTGTTGTAGCAGCAGAGGTGAAGTAAAAAAAATGTTTGTGTGCGTAGTGCCCATGCTTTATGTCTGAATATAAAACACCAATACAAACATGTCGGCCGTTTGATGGTCCAAGAAATGCTATTTCACATCATTCTGCACCATTATTTTCACCATATCTGTGAACAAATAGTTGGAAGAGCTGGATTAGCACTAAACTTGCTGAACAAGTCCAGCAGGGAGGAGCTACAACTATTAGATCTGGGGAAAGTAATTTAGGTCTGTCAGCAGGACAACAACTTTTAAAATGTTTGTTTTCTGAATGGAGTTCGGTTCGATCAGGGCTATGCTATGCTAACCTGTTCACAGTAAAGTAAAACCACAGCTGGAATAAAGTTACAGACACATATTTTCTGAACTCACCAGGTAGTTCAGCTTCCTCGCTTTCTTTTCTCCAAGTAATGTCCAGTTTTGTCCTGTTTTTATATAAATATGAAGTCGTAGTCCAGCAGAGCTCTGACGCAAACAACAACAGTGGAACCGGATGTGAACGGAAGCTGCTGAGAAGCTCCAGTGAAGATAAATCAAGTTTTAATGTAGCTAATTTAATAAAAGCAGTTAACTCTGAGCTCCTCCTGCGGGTAAACGGCGTAGCTGTCAGAGCAGAATCCAGACCGACTACGGGGGTTTATTTGTCCGAAAGCTGCAGCGCTGCTCCCCGTCCAGCTCTGCCTGGTCCTCTCCAAACAACGCTCCGAAGCCGCCGGTGACTTCCGGACAATTTCATGAATGATAGGCTTTTGCAACACAGCATCGCGACAAACGCATTGACTTTGTGTGCAATCAAGCTGCAAGAAACGCTGGATTGGCTTTCAGCGTGAACACAGCATTACAACGTTACGTAGCAGCCAATAGACGTACAGTTAGCTTTTCTGCTCAGCTTCCAGTCTGAAAGGGAGGGGGGATGTTTGCAGGTAACCAAAAGCGTACATTTACTGCTAGAATATTTTCCTCCAGACCATCAAACACTCAATACGTGCATCCCTGTTCATTAAAGGAGTTGCGCTGCTGTTATAACAGCACCTGTCAGGTAGATGTCCTTTGAAGAATGAGGGGTGGCAGCACCAATACATGGGGAAACACTGACATAGCTGACAGGGAAAAACATCACATGACACTATTAGTCAAATACGTATGACCATGTGCGTCACTTTGATCACAGATTGAATAAATCTGTCATAAATTAGCCTCATTTAGCATCCGGAGAGTCACTTAGTTTTAAAACAAAGTGTTACTTGTTGTGATTTATCAAATTCAGCACGTCAGTAAAAGTAGCATAACTTCTCGCCCGTGAAATATGATTCCCTGTGCTTGGTTTTAGCATTTCTTTCATAAAAACACCAAAAGCAGCACAGGAGTGTGACATTTTCTGCGGCAGAAGCTGCTGCAAGATGGCGGCGGCGGCAAAGACGCATCTCACCTGCAGCGTCTGCGTGTTCATATCTAGGATCTCTGTTGCATGATGTTAACCTCTGATGTCAGCTAACTGCTTCCCATCTTCCAGGTGTAGTTGGGGACCCCGGGGCCTCCGGACTGAGCGGCCCTCCAGGTGACATGGGGGTGATGGGAATGCACGGACCCCCAGGAGCCCCCGGCAGATCCATACCTGGTCGGTACCTGCAGCCCATTTCAGTTCATAGAAACATTTAGTATGATTGATGAGCAGCGACAGTGAAGGGTCTGTTATTTAGTGATAACTCTGCTGACACTCAGGAACCTCACAGGTAGAACAAGAGAACGATAAACAAACGTTTCTCAAACAGAACCGGACGTGTTTTTTATGTATCAGGATCAGATTTAAGGTGGTAAGAATAAAGTTCTCTGTTGGTTCCCTTCAGGACCAGCAGGTGTTTTTGGTCAGAGTGGAGTTCCAGGATGCAAAGGGGTCAAAGGAGATCCAGGTGCATTCTATACAGGCAAACCCTCACCTGGAGAACCTGGAAAACCAGGACGCCCTGGATTCAGAGGACCAAAAGGAGAACCGGGGAGACCAGGTACCAGACAACACTGTGTACACCTGTGTGGCGTTTCACCTGTGTGGCGTTTCACCTGTGTGGTGTTAGGGTTCAGTAAAGTTAATTTCATGTATTCATTTTAGTAATCAGTACAGATCATTTCCTGTTGTCGCCCAGCTGACTTGCTATTTCCTTCTTCAGGTACTTACTGTGTTCCCGGGGCCCCAGGAGAGCCTGGAGAGCTAGGTGAACCGGGGCCACTGGGGCCCCAGGGCTTCCAAGGGTATAAAGGTCAGTGTCTGCACATATTGACTCAAACTTTGATTGATTAATGTCTTTATGAAACAATGAAACACAGAGAGTACGCTACCATCAGAGCTCACAGCCAGTGATGTCATTGTGTGATGTCACATCCTGTATCTGATTAGGTCACAGAAGAGACAGTGTTTAAACTTTTAAGATCCCGTGATGAATTAATACCTTACAGAACGTATAAAAACTACATTTTGATGTTCATAAATACATTTACGTATAAATATATTTTTTTTAGCAGTTGGCCGGGCGGTCTGACCTCGTGGGCATGTTGTGGAGCTTCTCAACCCCCGAAAAAAATTTGAATTTGCCATCAACTTTCGTAAATCTGCCAATATTCAAATTCTGCACAGTTGATTTCTCACCTCAAAACCGCCCAAAAGTGTATTTAGTGATTAAACAGCGTACAAAACTTGTAAAAACAAAAAAACGTTCTGCTGTTTGCCTCTTTCTCCGCTTCTTTCCGCTTCTCGCATAAATGCTTTTTCTTCGTGAGTGGTCTTACAGTCGAGCAGTCAGGGCAGACGGTGGATGCGATGCTGCCCCCAGCACTTCCTGTAGTACGTTGCAGTTAGAAATAAACAGCCAGAAATGTTCCTAATCAGAAGATTGCTATCTGTCCCTTAAACGGCCTCTCACAAAATTTCACGTCGACAAATTTTTATAGTCAACTAATCGTTGCAGCCCTAATGCAGCTTTATGTATGTAGAACATTTACTGTGCACAGACTGATACGATATACAATATATTTTTTAAATAGAGCAATCAAAAAGACATTTAAAAACAAATAAAACTAATATTTAATAGATTAATACTGTAAGCAATGTTAAAAAAAAAAAGATTTGTTTTGCTTTTGTATTTCTGGTGTTATTGTTTACCTGTACCTATAATCCACCTGTGTGTTTCAGGTAGCCGTGGCGACTGTTCTTGTGGCCCCCCAGTTCTACTGAGGGGTACCCCAGGCCCTGTGGGTTTGCTGGGGTCTCCGGGGTCTCCAGGAGATCCAGGGGCCCCGGGGCTGAGAGGAGACAAGGGTTCAGCTGGAGACAGGGGAGAACCGGGACAACAGGTGAGGAGACAGGCAGCAGAGTCAGAGGTCGCACCAGCAGCCAGGTGAAGCACAGAGCCAAGAGTTCATCGACTGATTGATTTGTTTGTTTGCAGGGTCTCAGTGGATTTCCAGGTGTCAAAGGTTTCAAAGGTCAGAAGGGAGATTTCACTGTGGTGGATATTAAAGGTGAGTTCAACCACCAGACTCACCAGTTTTATTGAGTTGGACTAAACGATTTAATGCAACAACGATTGATTTCACTTCTTTTTTTAATTCTAAATGAACATCTTTGGCCATTTGAATGTAAACTTGTTTTGCCTAATATTATTTACCCCTTTACTGAATGTTTATTTGCTTATTTATTTATTTATTTATTTATAAGGTTTCTGTCGTGGAAATTCCTGGTGAGGGGCTGAGCAAATAATTGAGTTACAACAAACCGTTGTCTTTGAAGAATTTATTTAACAAAAGAGAAGAAACAGAAGTACTACAACACAAATCAGCTGGACCAGAGGTTCTGTTTCCTAAGACAGTCACTAACGTCTGGCCCCGAGCAAAGGGATGCATCATCATTTACACAGTCTAGGTTTCTATATTTTGGGGAACAGAGATCCTCTCTCGGCCTTGAATGAACATTCCAGGAGAGGAGAGGAACACAAGAGAGGGAAACAGCAAAACAATCTCACAGCTCTGACCTAAACCCTCGTAAATGTGGACAGACTAACATATATATGTATAGGAGAGGAAAGGTTAAGGATAAAACACTATACATAATAATATTAATAAAAGAACATACATAAAAGATTAAATGTAAGAGGACACAATTTTCTGCCAAAACAGTTTCATTTAAGTGTATTGTAACAAAGGTTGTTGCCGTTCAAATAATCTCCTTTACATTGATCATAAAGCAGTGAGTAGAATCCATACTGTAAGCTTACTTCTGCACAAAATGAAAATGTTGTATATTTGAATTTAATGTATTGCACAGTTCTCTTTTATAACACAGTATGTTTCGGCTAAACTGTAGATGAGCGTCACATCCTTCTTGCTAAACTCCACCTTCAATAATCAGTGTTGGGGTAGTAATGCCTTACTTTACTAGATTACTCACTGCTGACAGTAACTAGTTACATTACTTTTGGATTACTGCGTAACATCACCTGCGATGCACAATAACAATAAAATTACACCTCATATCTGCTCAGATCAACACAAATCCTTGTTATAATGAGGACAAACACAGGATCTCTCCTTTATGCTCTTTAATACCACAAAGCTGTGAACATCAGCCCAACATTTGTCAAGAGAAGAACAAGGCTACAGTACAGCACTATACTGCTTAGAGCTTTATTTGGACATTTCATTGGAAACATTTTCTCCGTGAGAGGGAAGATTTTAGAAAGTTGCGTGGCGCTGCCCCCAGCTGCAGTAGTGCACGGATCGTGCGTAATATTCATCCAGCCAGAGGGAACGATCACCAACCGTTCACAGCGCGTCGGTCGTAGTGGCGACACAACCCGTACCGGAGAGGAAGCGGGGCGGAGCAGGGCCAGGAGATCGTGGAGCGTCCGGCCCGCTGGGGACAGTCAGGTGATCGTTCCCTCTAGCTGGATGAAGTCTGACGCTCCGCATGATCCATGATGACAGAGAAATATAGAGATTAATGTCAATACAGCAGCTGTCAATGTTTCAGAGACCCCCGAAACATCACAAATCATGCTTTTAGGGGAGCGGATGTCTTATTAAGGGGAGCTGAGCCCTGAAATTGTTTGTCAGACAGCCTGTTCCTGCTCGGAGTCAGCAGACTGCCCAGGCTAAAGAGCCTCGCCACAGGCGCACTAGAGGGCATCACTGTCCTTTCACCGAACAATGTGAAGTAATACCTCCACCCCTCGAAAGACGTCTTTAGCAGCTCTGCCATTTCTGCGTCCTCATGAACTGGCGCTGAAGTCAAAAGTGAGGTTGGAAAAGTGTTAAGCAAACGCACTAAAAGGGATGTTTGATTTATTTTTCTCTCCTCCCGTTACCATGGTAGTTCAAGAACCAGTTCGCAAGTAACGCAATGATTTTGTTATTAGTAACTGTAATGTGATTACTGAAGTTATCAACAGGAAGGCGTTACATGACTGCGTTACTTTGTAACTTGTAACATGTTACCCCAACACTGTCAATAATAAACAATCAATGCTGTAAATACTGATCGACGTGACCTGCGACGACTGATGGAACAGAAAACCAATGAATGTGTGACTCCAGCCATGTCAGTGTATCAACGGTTCTGATTGGACCTTTGTCTCCAGGTGACAAAGGAATCAGGGGCAGGGAGGGCCCTGCAGGCAGACAAGGATTCTCAGGGAGAAGAGGAATCAACGGGCCCCCAGGGGATCCTGGAAACCCCGGCCCTCAGGTCAGTCAGACAATACAGGTGAACTCACAACAGGTGTCATGTCCATGTGGAAGTAGAACCGGGCCGTGAAGTATAAGTGTAGGAACGGTGAGGTAAGAGTCTCAAAGAGTCTCTGCAGTCCGGAGATCAGATTTACAGAAAGTTCCTCAGAGGATGAACTGATCTGCACATCAATGACAGAACCTGGGGCATGATTGTTCCCCTAACAGAAGTAAGAAACAGGACAAGAAGACGCTAATATAGATGTTGGATAAATCATCAGGATGTAATGACCAGTGCAGCCTGTAGGGGGTGCCGATCGCTGGTCTTGGTCCGACTTATTTATGAATCACTTTCTGTTTCTTCAGGGTGAAAGCTTCCCCAGTTCTCCTGGCGACCGAGGCCTCCCTGGACTCTCAGGACCAAAGGGACTATCAGGACCTTCAGGTGCCCCAGGACTAAGTGTAGTTGGAGCAATAGGACAGCGTGGGACCCCTGGAGAGCCAGGTCCTCCTGGATTCCCTGGCCCCCCAGGGCCAAAGGGGGTTAGAGGTAAAGATCACTCAAAACTTTGGAAAGCAGTTAGTATCACACAGTGCAACACATCTCCTTCACATAAACTTGATCAGGTTGTTGATTGTGGCCTGTGGAACGTTGGTCCATTTCTCTTCAATGGCTGTGCAGTCAGGTCGAGACCCCGATGAGGACGACGAGCATGCAGATGAGCTTCCTTGAGACAGTTCCTGACAGTTTGTGCAGAAATTCTTTGGTTATGCAAACCGATTGTTGCAGCAGCTGTCCGGGAGGCTGGTCTCAGACGATGTTGGAGGTGAAGATGCTAGATGTGGAGGTCCTGGGCTGGTGTGGTTAGACATGGTCTGCGGTTGTGAGGCCGGTTTGATGTACTGCCAAATTCTCTGATAGGTCTTTGGAGACGGCTTATGGTAGAGAAATGAACATTCAGTTCACAGGCAACAGCTCTGGTGGACATTCCTGCAGTCAGGATGCCAACTGCACGCTCCCTCCAAACTTGCGACATCTGTGGCGTTGTGCTGTGTGATGGAACTGCACATTTTGGAGTGGCCTTTTATTGTGGGCAGCCTAAGGCCTTTTATTGTGGGCAGCCTAAGGCCTTTTATTGTGGCCAGCCTAAGGCACACCTGTGCAGTCCCCATGCTGCCTGATCAGCATCTTGATAAGTCACACCTGTGAGGTGGATGGATTATCTCGGCAAAGGAGAAGTGCTCACTAACACAGATTTTGACAGATTTGTGAACAATATTTGAGAGAAATAGGCCTTTTGTGTACATAGAGAAAGTCTTAGATCTTTGTGTTCACCTCATGATGAATGGGGGCAAAAACAAAAGTGTTGCGTTTATAATTTTGTTCAGTGTACATATTAATAAACGAATGGGGGAGTGGGGGGGACTTGCTCTGGCTGTGATGAGGCTACACTGACCAAGACCCTGATCAAGACCCTGGACTGGAAAACAGAGGTACATGTACACAGGAAAAGGAGAAATCTCAGGAGTAACGTTACCACCAGCTGGTCCAGGAGCTTCGCCTGCATGATGATGCATGATCAAGCATCGGACCTAGCATCACAAAAATGTTTTTTCACCTACAGATGCTCAGTGCGTTCAAAGCGTGAGGCGTGCAGGGCTCATCAGCAGCGTGCAAAACCCTTTGTGCTTGTAGAAAACTGCAAAGACCGCGCTCTGTCTGATCGCTACTTTAGGGGTCTTTCTTTCCCTGTAGCTCCTCACATTTCCTGTTTGACCACGCCTCTCCCTTTTTGACCCCTCCCATCCCTTCAGGTGTCACTCTGCCCTGTGTACCCAGAAATCCCGGCGCCCCTGGACAGAAGGGAGACACTGGAGATATAGGTAAACACCATCTGTAACATGTCTGTCTGCTCACCTGTCGGTCTGGCTTCCTGCCCACCTGTATTCTCATGTTTTCCTCCAGGTTACACAGGACTCCCGGGTCCTCCAGGTTTTCGTGGCATCACTGGACCTGATGGAGTTAAAGGAGACAAAGGACGGTCTGGACTTCTTGGACCACCTGGACGACAAGGTACCAGAACTCACCAGCAGCACACTTGTCCTTTACATCTAAAACATTACCTTTACATGAATCCTGTCCTCCTCCTGCAGGACCTCCAGGTTATGTTGGAGAGACCGGAGACGAAGGACCCGAAGGCTTCAGTTATGGTGGAGATCCAGGTACAGTCATCATCGTCAAAATTTAAAGGTTTTAACCTGTGATGTCAAAGACAGACATTTTAGGGGAGGTGTTCTGGGTCCAGTCACAAACTTATTCTGTAGCAGTTTGTTTGTGATGGGAAGCTGATCTGAGATCCGAGTAGGGCACGGTAATACTTATCTACTACTCTTACATCACTGAAAAAAAACCTGAAGGATCTAGAGCCCAAGATGAAAATTTTACTTTGCTAAAGAATTACCCACAGACTTTAAAGGGGACCTGTTATGCTTTTTCATATTTTCTAGCATTTCTATAATGTTACAATGTCAGATGTTCATGTTAAACATGAACAAAGTTTCAAATGATGAAAAAGAAAGAAATCTCTGTGAGCCAAAACCTCAGAAATCCCCCATTTCTGAACACTCTGTTTTGAACGGCTCGGTATGATGTCATTCCGAGCCAGATTTCCAAATATGGTCATTTGCTCCAGGCAGAGAATGCTGGCCACGCCCACAAAAGCACATGCAGTCCTATCCCTGCAGCAACCTGGTAAACACATTAGACAATGGCCAATCAGAAGAGAGCGGGCTCTGGAGTGGGGGGGGGGGGGGGGGGGGGCTCAAATAAACAGAAGCATAAACAGCTTGTTTCACAAAGGTGCTGAAAGGGCCAGCATGAAGAGCCAGTATAAGATAGAAAATAATTTTTTTTTAACTTTGAATCATGCAAAGCCGCCATACAGGAGTCACAGAACTACAATATAGGACTGGAAATGCAGATTAATAGGTCACCTTTAACTCCAAGTTTGAATGTGTTGTTTAATCGCTGCAGAGGCAGGTTAGCAACAGGAAATAGTTACTGAATAATGGACTAAGTGCAGATTAAACCACAGAAAACTAACAAATGCCAATAAGACATCAAAACTCAGGATGATAAATTTGGACCATTAATATTCAATATTTAAATTAAACCCAAAACCAAACAACATCCAAACAGCTGTAGCAAACACCATAGCAGTCTATTCAAAGTGAGCAGGTCCTAAAAGACCATTAACCGATCACTTCATGCAAGTTAAATGTTTAAAACCAAAGTCTTTGTGGTGTCCGAACGATAATGCTGCGATGATGTGTTGAGAAGAAATCCGCTTGACACTGTTCTTGATTATAAAAGTTTATTACATCAAAGAATTCAGCATCAATTACAAGCTCTGCAGCAGCTTGGAGAGTGACCCAGCCCGATGACCACTCTGTCTCTCTGTACATCGAACACAGCTTATATAGGACATGTTTAGGTCTCTGCTAAAAACCATATAAGGGCACGGTGCTGTAGAATAAGTGTAACCATCTGTTAGACACCACAGAAGGGTACAGTCCCTTCATACACACTAATCTCTTTATACCTAATCTCTACTTCCCCTAACACTGCACCCATCAATCATTACTTCCCCATAAGGGTTCACTGTCCCTCTCACCAGCTGCAGAGCATTATGTTAAACTGTAATGGCCGGATGCACATATGTTATACACCACATTTTCTTATAGGCAAATCCCGCCACTTGGCAGCCATCTTGGTAACGGTAACGTTTGCTGTTTTTGGCTGGCAGTGTCAAAGTAAACAAGAGTCCTACAAATGCAGTTCCGGTCCTAGGATTGTGGTCCTGAAACTGTAACCAGCCTCCGGTACTGCAGCTACACACTAATCGTTTTTCACCACAGGTTAGAGTTCTACTACACATGCACAAGTTTTCACCACACCACCTTTATTTAAGGCTCTATTGGCTCTGATGTGATGCCATGAGCTCATCCCACCGGAGCACTTCAACAAATGCTAAGCTAACCGACATCATGGACACAGTCATCATATACTGTATACAGTACATTTGCAGAAGGCACCCTGGTATTTTCTAACACATACTGCAAGTACTGCATATCACATCTGGTGCCTTCCCATACAGTATTTTGGCGGACATGTAGTGCATCTGATCTGGTCACACACCTGCTCCTCGCTACCACCATCTGAAACGGTCACAAACCTCAGCTGACGTCAGTGAACCTGGGGTTGGCTTTCATACAGGAGGCGCAGGATATTTGCATACAACCTCCATCTTTGGCTTTACGGGCTTCCACCATAGGATTCTATTCAGGATTTTTTAGGTAGTGCGTCTCTTTGTTAAATCGTCTCTGTTAAAAACTTAACTTTCAATGGTTTAATAGGTGAGGCCCATCAAAAAAAAATGGGAAAATGGTCAAAATCCTTGGCTTGAAAAATGTAATCATCAGTCAGCTTATTATTCTGGAATCATCATAATTGTATTCTTCGTCCTCTCCTCCCCGCATTCTTAATTCCTTTCTTCGGTCTTCCCGCCATTAACCTGTAAAGTCTTCCTCATTTTCTTCATCGTGTTTTCTGTTTGGAGCAGGGAGTTCTTCTCTCCCTTACTCCCTGCTGTGTTACCACCCGACCTTGGCTCGTAATGCCTCTGGCTGCAACAGCGCTGTGTCCGGCTCAGTAATCTGGGGTTTCATGCTCCATCTTCCCTGATGCAAATCAGAATTTTGCCTTCTAACCAAGTGATTTTGGTGCCGAAACCCGACCAAGTGGTTTTGGTGCCGAAACCCAACCAAACTAAGAACCATTTCACAAAGTTAACCACATCTTAAAAAGGTGATTTATCCTGAAGGGTACCTTGTGCGTCAAAGCGTCAGTATTTTACACCCTGGGGTGGGAGCGCCCTTAAGGTGGGAACTCCCATAAGGTGGACCTGGGGTGGCTGTACTTATATTATGTTTAACTGCGTCATGTGTTTATACCAGGCTCTCCAGGTATCCCTGGCCCCTCCGGACTCAGGGGCCCAGCAGGAGATTCTGATGTTGGGCCCTCTGGACCCATCGGCTTTCCAGGGGCACCGGGCTCTCCAGGACCTAAAGGAGTGCCTGGGTCCCCCGGGAACAACGGACTACAAGGTGATTTAGTGGAGCTGAGATGTAATGCTAAACTTTTTTTAATCCATGAAGTTTTATTCTCTTTGCATCAGTTCATCATCTGATTGCAGTCATAACTGTACCTGTAATACCTTCCTCTCACAACCCGATCTTCTTAAAAATGGGATTAAAAAGATTTCAACTTTAGAACAAAGTAGATTTCAAGTACAACACAAAACCAAAGCAGGACGTAAAGGGTTGATGGGAGAAGTTTGATAAATTCAGGATGTGCTGATCAGAAATCAGATTCATATGTTCAGAATTATTTCCTGTGTTTGTCCAGGAGTCCTGGGTCTGGCTGGGGGCCCCGGAGAGAAGGGCCAGAGAGGACAGGATGGGGCCCCAGGTAAACCTGGCCCCCAGGGGCCTATATCTGTCCTCTGCGATTCGGGAAAGCCTGGTTCCAGGGGCCTTTTTGGCCCTCAGGGACCCATTGGACCCCCAGGTAAACTTACTCAGTAAGGTAAAGCTTACTTTACTGTAACTTTACTATTTATCACCACCTCCTCCTCCTTTTCCTTCCTCTGCTTCTTCTTCCAAAATATCTGCATCTTTAATCACTTGACTGTGACGTCATCATATTTTTGTTCAGGTTTCGTTGGGCAGAAAGGTGATGTCGGTAAGCAGGGTCCTCCAGGTTTTGGCCCTCCAGGCCCTGTAGGTACCATGGGCTCTCCAGGTCTCCCGGGGTACCAGGGGCACCAGGGCCCCTCTGGCCCCACTGGAGACTCAGGATTGCCGGGGCCCAACGGTCAGAAAGGTGAGGTTCTCCCACTAAACACAGTGTTTAAATGTTTCCTGACGACACAGGTCCCCAAAAATAAAACGCACATTGTGTTTCAGGTCTGATGGGGCCCCAGGGCCAGAACGGAGGGCCAGGGGCAACTGGACAGACTGGAGCTCCTGGAGCTTCGGGGAGGAGGGGGGACAATGGGTTCAATGGACAAGACGGAGCTCCAGGATGTGAGGGCCCAAAAGGAGTGAAAGGTAAAAACTGAGCGATACTGCACTACTACTACAGTACTGAGTCTCATTTATTACAGTACACTGGTAGTTTATCAAAGTAAAACTCTTATTTAATGTGAAATCTAATGTCATATTAGAACATGTGACCTAAACTGGTCAGGGGTCTGTACTATGAAGCAGGATGTCAGGTCGCCTTGGGTTTTTAGTATCAATAACACTCCTGAATGACTCCTGAATGTGCAGCTAAAACTTTACTACTTTTGTTGAAAGCCTCTCCCATGTGTCCCCTGCAGGCTGTACAGGGCCCCCGGGGCCTCCAGGGGATTACATGTGTACCCCCATCAAAGGAGTGACAGGAAATCCAGGACCCAGTGGCAACAACGGCTTTCCTGGACCACGAGGTAAGAGCTGTTACCATACAGACCAGTGTCACACAGGAAGTGGCAGGGTTGTGACCTCTTTAGATCAGAGGTCCGGTGCTGCATTCAGGTACTCTGTAGAAGTTGGAAACACTTCTTTGCTTCCACACTGTACACCTGAACAGTGTTCTCAAAGGTTTGGACTCAAAGGTTGCATTGAGTCGAGTTGCGTAGAGTCGAGTCAGGTCGAGTTGCGTAGAGTCGGGTCAGGTCGAGTTGCGTAGAGTCAGGTCAGGTCCAGTTGCGTAGAGTCGAGTCAGGTCCAGTTGCGTAGAGTCGAGTCAGGTCGAGTTGCGTAGAGTCGAGTCAGGTCCAGTTGCGTAGAGTCGAGTCAGGTCCAGTTGCGTAGAGTCGGGTCAGGTCCAGTTGCATAGAGTCGGGTCAGGTCCAGTTGCGTAGAGTCGGTTTGAGTTGCGTGGAGTCAGGTCGAGTTGCGTAGAGTCGAGTCAGGTCAAGTTGCGTAGAGTCGAGTCGGGACGAGTTGCGTAGAGTCGAGTCGGGACGAGTTGCGTGGAGTCGGGTCGAGTTGCGTAGGATCGTGTCAGGTCCAGTTGCGCGGAGTCGGGTCGAGTTGCGTAGAGTCGGGTCCAGTTGCGTGGAGTCGGGTCAGGACGAGTTGCGTAGAGTCGAGTCAGGTCCAGTTGCGTGGAGTCGGGTCAGCTCGTATCAGTCACCCCCTGCGCTGCTTGAAACTAATCTTTGGCCACAAAGCACCGAGCGAGTTGGTAACCCAGTTTAAGGCTTAACACTTAACCACTTTGATCTCTGCCGCTTGGTAACATAAAAGCCAAGAGAAGGTGAGACTCCAAGTGTGAGGCTGTAGCTGTTTCCTGGAGGCAGTGCATCCTAGTGGTTCCAAAGCACTACAACTGTCCCACAGAAGTTGATAACAAGTGAACCTCATAGCCTGATCCTCCAATGAACCTTTTAACATCAAGTACTGTGTCTCCACAGGAAGTAAAGGTGTCCGAGGAGTTACCGGTAAGCCGGGGTATCCAGGAAGCAATGGACCCCCTGGCATCATAGGTCTCCCAGGACCCACTGGGCCCTACGGCAAGCCAGGACCTCCTGGACCACCTGGACCTCAAGGACCTCCAGGATTAATCGGCTTTCCTGGACAAACCGGAGATCCAGTAAGATAAAAGTTGACTTTAGAATAACTCCCTGTTACACCTCTGAACAAACTGTTATTCTGCACTAACAGCAGGGCTCCAGAGTACGCCCAACAATCTGTCTCGTGTGACTACATTTTTTCTTGGTCACACTGGTGCACCTAAGAGGACACAGGACTAGCCGCATCTCTATCTGTCTGGATGTATGTTTTTTCCCCCAAAACTCGCTAGTTGGTGGTGCAGTGTTGACTTCTGCCAGTGAGCCAGCTAACTTCCGGTTTAGTTTTAGTTAGTTTAGTTTCTAATTTTAATTTGGGTTAAATAATAATGTGGCTCTTCTAGTCTTTTTAAATGTATTCGACTGAATCAAAGTCTGATTTCATTTCGCATTTGTGATGCTCAAAACAAAGTTTTCACTGTTTCACAGCTGCTAGGAAAACTGACTTCAAAGCACGCCGAGTGCCGGTTGCCCGATCGGTACCGCACATGTGTCGTAATTTCAAAATAAAAGTCCCGTTTATTTGCTTATTTGTTTGTAAAAAGTTGAACAGAACAGCAGATATTTTACAAATATTAAGTTGGTTACATGGCCTGGTATGTGTTAGAAATTTTAAAGATGAACAAAATAGGAAAATATATGAAAAGATCATTTTTTTCATTTGAAATAAATTAATATATTACAACATATTTAAATATGTACAGTCTCAATACATATTTTACAGTACGACATTATAATAGGCTGACGCACTGATAGCCGTACTCCTGCTCTCTACCTGCGACTTGCATCACGCCTGTGGGACTGCAGTGCAGTCGCTCCCTGGGCTGCTGGGTGCAGCTTGCGCCGCGGGACATGGACCCCATGGATGCCTGCATGGAGGTCTAGTTGATAGTGCTGTGTCAGCGCCAACGCAGATACAGAGCAGATAAATTTACATTGTATTTAACAGGGTTCTACAGCTCGAGACCCCAGACTAAAGTAATGAGTCATTTTCTGTAGCCACTTCTGAAAAATGGTAATAGGTTCAAAATCAGGTTTATTTGGTGAGAAATTCTCATCAAATTAGAAAAAATCATGAAGTATCGAGCTGATAAAAAAACTTTTAGCATGCTTGTTTCAGCTGTTAAAGAGTCTGCAGGGGCGCACAGCAGATTAAATGCTAGAACAAAAGAACCAGACATTTGTCTTTTACTATTTTATTCAGAAATATTGATCTGTTCTTGTTTGTCGTTGCAGGGGGACCTGGGATGTCCGGGAAAACCTGGAAGACCCGGTCCCCAAGGATGTCCTGGACCCAAAGGTAGGAACAAACCCCTAACATCATGACGCAGCAGATTTATGGGACATTTTTAATTTTAAATGCCTTTCATACATAAAATACATAAAGACATCAAGGATTATGTCTCTGATTCCTTGACTGTCTCTACTCGTTTAGTGTGCAGGTTGTTGTAAGTATGTGTTTGTGTTTCAGGTCATATTGGAGAGTCTGTCGGTTGTTATGGTTCACCTGGAGACAGGGGGCCTCCTGGAGAGTCTGGGCCCTCAGGTGATGATCGGGTTCTGGTTTTGCGGCAGAAATTTGTAGGAAACAGGAAGATAAGAAGATAAGATGATCAGCAGCTTGAACCTGAATTTACAAACAGTAAAATAACAAATGACTGTGTTAAATTGGGGTGTGACGAGACACTTTTTAGCATTAAACACTTCATTTCCTGCATTCAGGCAAATTTTATGTTTAATTTTACAAGTTTATGGTGAAAATTTTTCTTTTATGTAAAGAGAAACAGAAAATTCAAGTGGCAGGTGACAATTCACACTCAACAACCTAACTAATAACCCAACTCTACCAGAATCTAAGTCAGTGCTGCTCTCAGATCTGTTTCTCCTGTAGATCAACATATTTAATCTCATCCCTGCTGAGTCAGGATTCAGTCTTCCCTCCTCTTTGTGTCTCTGTTTGGGGAAGTCACCTCTTTAAATGGGATTGTGGCTTCTTTTCACCTCAATGTGAAATTATTTAATGTTAATTCAGTTAGAAACTCCTGGACTTTAACAGCTCCTGTGTTTCAGCAGATTTTCTGCTCATGGTCAAAACTTTCTGCACATTCAGAATCTCTCCCACAGATCTGGGTTCTCTGACGCGTCCAGACTAACGTCGTCATTTACTGAGAAGTCTAGCTGCCCTTTACTCTGCGCTGCATTACGTTATTGATCCGCTGGTAGTAACGTTATCCCCTTCAGACCGTTTGGCCGACGCAGGTTGGGACTGCATGTTGCTTGTGAAACCTAAAGTAACACTTGTGATCAGGCAGAAATCTCAGCACAGATCCACACAGGTTAACTTCAGCAGCTCATAAAGCAGGCTGCTCTTCAGTTTTTAGATGGTTATGTTGCAAAACTCTACCAGCTACGTTCCCACTCGTCACAGCTGTCTGCACTCAAGCGGTGCGGTTCAGTCGATAACTATCAGGGCGTACGCCGGTGTTGCATCAGCTGGGCGGAGTTGAACACCCCTAGTGTTAAATATTAATTTATAAATTCTAAGGAGAGAGAATCTGTCAGTGAATGTGATCTTTAGTGACTAAAGACGTGTTGTGTGAAGCTGATTGTGGTATCAACCATCATGTGAGTTTCTAGAGGAATCAGCTGGGGGTTTTTTCTCTCAGGGCCACCTGGACCTCGAGGAGATCCTGGAGGACCAGGTTTCAACGGGGCTCCAGGACAGAAAGGATGCAAAGGAGATCCAGGCGATCATGGAGAAAACGGTGAACCAGGTACAAAAGCTCAGCTGGACCAAACCAGTCTTTACACCTTCATTCTGTAACATGAGCTGAGTCATGTACCATGCGAAACCGGTAAAGCTGCTCCGTCGTTCCCGGATCAGAATGGTAGACTTTTAATGTGAAAAACACCAGGAAGTGTTCAGTGTTGTTGGCGGTAGTTTTATTCCTTCCCTTTGTTTGTGCTGGTCACAAGGTGCCATTGAAGGCTCAGTCATCATTTGATGCAGGCTTCTCTATTAGAGAATTTATGGTAAATACATTCATAAAGAGGCGGGACTCCTCATTTTGTGACCCCTTCATAGTTCAGTCTAATTCAACTTTGAACTGTCAAAGACATCAGCATTTTGCCGGTCTGAGACAGAAAGTGGAGCTTACTGCTGGTTTTTGGAAGCACAGTTTGTTGTGTTCATATTTATAAAATAAAAAAGCTTCCTGTCTAACCCTAACAGTGTCTGTCTGGTTTATTTCAGGTGTGTTCGGTACCCCAGGTCAAAGAGGTCGTCCGGGTATTCCAGGTCTTCCTGGTAAAGGGGGTGCCGATGGTCCTCCAGGACCGCCAGGCTGCCCGGGACTCAAAGGTCAGAACTCAAGCCAGAAATGCTGTCATGTCAGCCATGGAAGATTATTATCTTGGTGATTAGCAAAGAAAGACGTCTTCCAACCCGACAATAAATAACAAATAGTTACAGGAGTAGTTTCACTGTAGAAGGTTTCCAGGTGAGATGACTGTAGGGTGGTTGTAGGTGATACTAAGTGACCCTTTGCTAAGCCACGCCCCGAATACACAGCTGGCCAATCACAGCGCAGTATAGGACTCCCTCTAACTGAGGTCCGACACTTTCATGGCTGCGCTCCATTGACTCTGATGCAGAAAGAGTCGTTTTCCAGCTTTTTCTGGCTGTATTTTTCTAAGATCTGGTCAAACGCTGTTCCTGCGGCATCTTGTAATAATTACAGCAGCTACCAGAGAGGCTGAAAGGAGAAGGACGATTTATTCTCTAAACCCTGAAACAAATGGGGGCGCTATAGAGCCGTGAACCAAGATGGCAGCTTAAAGTGAATGCTCCGTGTAGCCTGCATCAAGATTCCAAAAAACCCAGCCTTTGAAGCGTAAACTGAATCGGAAGATGTCAAAATCTGTTGCTCTCAAGGATTGTGATATTTTCACACGAAAACGCGGTTCCCAAAAAACAGCTAAAACTGACATTTCGGTAGCAGGTCAAGACAACGTGGGGACTGCTGCTAGCACGGATAGCATGTGTGACCTCACCACGGTGTTAGCTGAACTTAGGTCATTGCACTCGGAGTTCACTGGATTTGGAACCAAGCTGAATAGCATAGATAATCGTATGGGTGAAATGACTAAGTCCTTCGCTGCTTTGGAGAAAAACATGACGGAGGTGAAGCAAAATGTAGCCACTAATGTTACTCGACTGGAGGAAGCTGAGAATAGGATCATGTCGGCGGAGGAACTCCTGGAAAAGAGCACGGTCGACCTTAACAACGCCATGAAGCGAATATCCTACCTGGATGCAAAGACTGACGACCTGGAGAACCGGGGTCGCAGGAAGAACCTTCGCTTGTTTGGCCTCCGGGAGGGCGCCGAGGGTCAGCGGCCGCTGCTGGAGTACATTCGGGAGGCACTGCCGCGTTGGCTGGAGACCGACAAATCCTTTGTCATTGAGAGGGCTCACCGCACCCTGGCACCTCCAAGACCAAACCAGCACAGAGCAGTCCTTATCCGATTCCTGAATTTCCAAGATCGGGAGTTTGTTTTCCGTTGCACAAAACAACGTAATATCGAACATGAAGGAAACAAACTTTTTTTCGCCCAGGATCTTTCAGCGGAGACCGTCCGACTACGAGCCGAGTTCAGCACCGTCAGGAAAGTGTTCGTTGAAAAAGGCATTTTCCGCGGGTTCCAATACAATCCATGTAAGATGAGGATCCTCCACAATGGGAAGCTGCAGTCGTTTTCATCCCCAAAGGAGGCTGGGGATTTTCTCCACAGACACGCCGGACAGGGCTGACTATGATGGTGAACTAGAAAATCAGCTGTTCAGACCTAATAACTGCACTTTAAGGTATTTTCTATAATACGTTCATAACGCATGTATGTATGCATATGTATATATATATGTGTGTATACTGTTTTTCTCTCTTTTTCTAAACACATTAATACTACATACTTTGGTTAAACTTTATTTTTGAAAGGGAGACAATATGAGCAGATAAAGAACATTGCTGTTGAATAATTTCATGGAGGGACTATGTTAACATGTTCATATGGGTTTTATGTGTTTATCTCTTAATTTGGTGTATGCATGGTTTACGGACACCACTGCTGCTTTTTGAAGTTGGGTTTTATAGCTTAGCTACTCCCTTTATTAGTGGATTAGCACAAACCCCCATTTACTAATCTGAGTAAGGGAGGGGGCGGGGGGATGTAAGTGTTATGTGTCATTTTCAGGATTTTCTTTTTTTATTTAGTTATTTGTTTTTTTTAATTCAAAAGTTATCTGTATTTCATACTAACACAATGTATTGCTATATTAATACTCCTGAAAAAACTAACAAAGTATGGAACAAGTGAATACTCATAATGTCTGATATAAAAATCACAAGTTGGAATGTCAGAGGACTCAGGAAAAGAATTAAACTAAAACAGGTTATCAACAGGATTAAGCAACTCAAGTCAAAAATAATTTTTCTTCAAGAAACACATCTTACAGATTGTGAATTAAAATTTGTAAAAAACAGATGGCCTGGCCAGGTGATACACTCATCATACAATAATTATGCAAGAGGCGTAATTATTTTGATCCATAGGAGTATACCATTCCAAGTGCTACAAATAAAAAAAGACCCGGCTGGTAGATACGTAATTGTCCAGGGTAACATCCTCTCAATTACTTTGAATTTAGTGAGTTTGTATGGCCCAAATGAAAATAAACCAAAGTTTTCTGAAGATCTATTTCTTACCGTATCCACTCTGCAAGGACTCTATATAATTGGAGGAGACTTTAATTGTACCTTGAATCCAAGTATAGATCGTTCAACAGGCTCAGATATCTATAAAGCTCAAACTAGACATTTAATAAATCAATATATATTGGATTTGAACTTGGTGGAAGTGTGGAGGGAACAAAATCCTGATAAAATAGAATTTTCCTGTCACTCAGGTATACATAAATCCCGTTCGCGTATAGATTATTTCTTATCTCAAGGGAACTTTTATCAAGGATCAAACAATGTCAGTATGATAGCATAGTGATCAGTGATCATGCAGCTATCTCACTGAAGGTTTACATGGACAACTTTACCCACAAACAGTTCCGTTGGCGGTTTCAAGCAAGATGGCTACAGAACTCAAACTTTGTTAAATTTATAGGGGAGAAAATAGATAATTACTTTGAGTTAAATACAGATCAAACTTGTGCCACAATGGGATGGGAAGGATTTAAAGCATATATTCGAGGTGAAATCCTTAGCTATACGAGTACGAAGAATAAACAACAACAAAAGCAAATGGAAATCTTGGATAGGCAAATTCAATTTTTGGAATTAGACTTAAATGCTAGCGATGACCCAATAAAACAAAGTGAATTATTACGTTTGAGAACTGAATATAATAAATTGTCTTCTGATGCAGCAGCAAAAAGTTTAATGTGGTTAAAGCAATCCTATTATGACCAAGGTGAGAAAGCGGGGAAGCTCTTGGCATGGAGAATAAAGAAAACACAGAGCGAAAGAGCAATTAATAGTATAATGACCGCCCCGGGTGAGGTAACAGTAGACCCATCTGAAATTAACGATAGTTTTAGACAATTTTATGAAAATTTGTATAGATCTGATTGTTGTCGTACCTCGGAAGAACAAGACCTATTTTTGGACCAACTTCAGTTCCAGACACTCACAGAAGACACACAACAAGAGTTGGAAAGGAATTTAAGTATTGAAGAGATATCACAGGCCATACAATGTATTAACAGTGGTAAAGCTCCTGGGCTAGACGGATTTACGATTGAATTCTACAAAACTTTCAAAGAAAAAATAATAGTTCCACTTTTTAACATGTATGAAGAAGCATTTAAAAATGAGGTTCTCCCACCCACTCTAAGACAGGCTATGATCACTTTGATATTAAAACCAGGTAAACCTCCTGCAGAATGCTCATCATTCAGACCAATAAGTTTGATGGGGGTTGATAATAAAATAATTTGTAAAGTTTTAGCAAAGAGATTAGACCCCTTTATCTCACATCTAGTTCATAACGGTCAAAATGGCTTTGTACCAAAACGTCAAAGGGTTTCATAATATAAGAAGAGTTTTGAATATAATTCATGAGAAATTTGATGTTAAAGATACGGCTTTATTATCACTTGATGCCCGTCAGGCCTTTGACAGAATAGAGTGGTCATACTTGTTTAACGTTCTTCCGAGGTATGGATTTGGCCTCAACTTTCTCAAATGGGTTAAACTTTTGTATACAAATCCTAAAGCCAGTGTCTTGACAAACAACATAGTATCTAAACCTTTCACATTGGAACGTTCCACTCGCCAGGGATGCCCGTTATCTCCAATGTTATTTATTTTGGCTATGGAGCCCTTGGCAATGACGATAAGAATGCAAACTGATATATTTGGCATCCAGTTAGGAGATCAGGAGCATATATTGTCCTTATATGCTGATGATCTGATAGTCTTTTTGACAAGGCTGTCCGTCAGTGTCCCAAATTTAATGCAACAAATGGAGCTATTTGGTCGATTTTCTGGTTATGAAATAAATGATTCAAAATCTTCTATTCTATTTTTGAACAGGGACGAGAGGCTAAACCCAGTCATACAGACCCCGTTTATCAATGCAAAAGAGGGATTTGTGTATCTTGGTGTTAAAATTACTCCAGACATTAAAACCATTGTACCAATGAATTATGATCCTTTGGTTAGTGAAGTAAAGGAGTCTTTAAATAAATGGACAGTAATGCCCGTGTCAATGATTGGCAGAATAAACATGATCAAAATGAGCATATTACCAAAATTTTTATATCTGTTTCAGGCACTCCCTTTGCCTCTCTCAAAACAATTTTTTGATGAATTAAACACTGTCTTTAATAGATTCATTTGGAATAATAAAAAACCTAGACTAAGGCTTCGACTGCTGTACATGCAATATGAGAGAGGGGGGTTACAACTCCCTAATTTTAAATTATATTACTGGTCTGCACAGCCGCGCTCAGCCATATTCTACTTTGCAACTGAGACAACCCAGCATGGATAAAAATTGAACAATTAGAAACAAAACTTAAATTGAATTTGTATTTATATTCAGCATGCCCCAAAAAATTGGGGAAAATTACAAAAAAACCCTTTTTAAAAAACACAATTGATATTTGGTATAGGGCCCATCAGTATATGGGAAGTATTCCTCCCATCTCTCCTTTTTCGCCTATTTGGGGCAACACAGATTTTAAGGCAGGAAGAGCTGATGGAGGTTTCAAAATCTGGGCGGATAAAGGTGTACAGAAGCTGGCAGACCTCTATAAGGATGGCAACTTTCTTACATTTGAGCAGTTATGCCAAACATATAACATTCCAAAGAAACATTTTTATAAACATTTACAAATTAAACATTTCATTATGTCAAAATATAAACAGATTGAATCTGAACCAACACTGTCAAAATTAGAGAATATTATATTGCAAAATCTTGAAAGGAGAGGTCATATTCTTTATTTTATGCAGCTTTACTAACACATGATGAGGAATCCGCCGCTGATAGGCTAGATGCATGGAGAGCTGACGTCCAAGAGGAGATAAATGTGGCAGACTGGGAAGCTGCATGTTTAAAAGCCCAAAAACAGTCAATTAGTACCAGGATGAAACTCCTCCAATATAAATGGTTGATGAGAACCTACATAACTCCGGTCAAGTTGAACCGTTGGTCACCTAATATCCCAGATAGCTGTAGTAAATGTTTTGATGGAAAGGGTACTCTTTTTCACTGTGTATGGGACTGTCCAAAATTACATCAATATTGGAAGTCAGTCATGCAGACTTTGTCAAAGATTGTTGGAGTAAACATACCTGCTGAAGCAAAAATATGTGTGTTGGGTATATACCCAGAGAACTGTGTTTTTAGCTCCAGACAAAAAAAACTGATTGACTTTGGACTCCTGCAAGCCAGGCGGTTAATATCTGTGTACTGGAAGAAAATGGATGTACCATCAAATCATATGTGGATGAAGGAGATGGCGTCATGTATTGTATTGGAACGACTCACTTATATTGTTAGAGGAAAGGGAAGAAATTTTGAAGAAATATGGTCACCATTAACTGAGTTTCTAAGACATTATGAAGGAAATTAAGAAAGTAAAGCTGACTGCCGAGTTGTTGTTTTTTTTTTTTTTTGTGTGTTTTTTTATCATTGTCTTTGTTACTCTGTTATGTGATGTTTTTACTTTTTACTTTGGGGATTAAGTTGTGAAATATTAAGCTTATCAAATTGTATGCTTGTCAAATGTATCACTTGCTTGTTTTGTTAAAATTCAATAAATATAATGTTAAAAAAAAAAAACCTGAAACAAATCCAGAACAGACAGCCTGAATAAAACCTTTAAATCCATAATGCAACTGCAAAACAGCTCCTTTCTGAGATAGTGTTTTCCAACAAATTTTACAATATTTCTCCGGAGAGTGCAGTAATGGACAGTGGCAGTGTTGACAGTTTGTCGGACTTAGCAACAGTAACTAAGGGGGGCGGGGCTTAGCGAAGGGTCAATTACAGTTAAATTTACTTAGGTGTTGGTTGTTTATGTTGTTACTGTGTTTATCTGACAGATGAAAGTGCACAGATGTTGAGTTTTTTGTGCTTGATTGTGGTGTCAGGTCCTCCTGGACCGCTGGGACTTCACGGACTGGATGGACTGAAAGGAGTGAAGGGGGACAGGGGGACCAGAGGTATGAGTCTCTCAAGTTTTTTCTTCTATAACTGTGAGTAAATCTCATCGATATAATGCATTCCCTAGCCTCGGTGGGAACCTCAGTGTCCCGCTACTCGGCAGCCATCTTGGTAACGCCTCCACGCAGTTATTTCAGACAAGATCAGGCTTGTGTCTAAATGAATGGGGGGAGAGCCATAGTTGTGAATCCTGTGATGTGAAGTCCATCGCTCTCCGTGTGCTAACTTCTCTCATCCTGCACCGCGTTGTTGTTTACATTTACATTGCTGCCTTCAAAATAAAAGCGCATAAGATGCCGTCTGTCGGAGCTGGATCAAATGAATGACGTGTATTTGATAATATTTGATACCATATTACCAAGAAATATTGAATTTAATTTACTGAAGGATAGCTCCTTGAGATGCAGCATCTCATTTTAATATTCATACCCAAATATAGGCGGGGTCAATTCAGTGATTTTAGCAAATAAAAGCCCGGGTTTTTAACCTAAGTTTTACGGTACTTGTGTGACGAGACGATCCATCTCCCCACATGTACAGTATGTATGAAATATTAAAGAAACAGCTTTCCCCACCTGCTGCAGTTGAAACAAACATTTTGTCCAAACCTCAGAGGGACGAAGGGCCTATAGTGAAGATGATTTCCTACTGTGTCCAACATTTAGATCAGGGTCACCAAAGATGTGGCTTAACAGCAGATTCAAAAATGAATCAAAGTAGAAGCATGCTGTTTGCGTGAAGCTTAATGAACCTCTGACTTGTCAAAGTTCAGTTAGAGACATTTTTGAGACATCCGTTCTTTTTTATTTAGTAAAATAAAGTTTGGAGTCTCTGGGACTTCCGTCAGCATCATAATGATAACGTCTGTCTGTCTGTCTAGGTCTGGGTATGCCGGGTCCTCCAGGTTGTTATGGTCTTCCAGGAGATAAGGGTCCTCCGGGTCCTCCAGGACACAAAGGCCCATCCCAGTCTGGCCCACCAGGACCCAAAGGCCCCCTAGGACCCAAAGGTCTGTAGCAGTGTGATTCTCAGAGTCAGGATGTGACTGCAGGTTACCCTGATCAATCTAAAGATCTTTAGAAGAACTTTAGTCTGACTCTCCATCAGTAATGTGTCTTTTCCTATTGTTGCAGGACCTCCAGGTGCTTGTGGGCCTCCAGGTGAACCTGGACCAGACTGTAAAGGACTGCTCCCAGGGCCTTGTGGAGATCCTGGTTGTCCTGGACCAGACGGAGATCCAGGTCAGACTTTCGTTCAGGTTAAATAAAGTTTAACAGAGAAACCACACTGGATAACCTCTGACCTTTTGTCGTTTCAGGGTGTCCTGGTGAAATAGGGGAACCTGGTATAAACGCTCCAGTATGTGGCGATGATGGGGACAACGGGTACCCAGGGTGCCCGGGGACACCGGGCACAAAGGGACCTCCGGGGTGCCCAGGACCGCCAGGTAACCCCGGAAATCCAGGAGAGAAAGGTGAGACACTCTCCATGTCTCTGAGATATCTTTGTATGAAGTTATCTGACATGTTACTGCTGACAGATCTTAACTTAGGGAAGATCCACCTTAAAGGAACTGAACCGTAGGTGTACACCGGAGAACTACCTAACCCACTCTGATTTCAGTGGTGTTCTGTTTAATGTGAAGATCCTGAGCTGAACAGTTTGAACTAGAAGAACTAGAGTGGTGGTCTGCCTCAGAACTAGAGTGGTGGTCTGCCTCTGAGGAACTGTCTCTGGTAAAGCTTTGACCAAATTCTAATAAATTCTGTAAAAAGTTTTATTTTGTGGTACATGATGATGCCGGGGCCTCTACGCCAAAATCACACCCCAGCCCAGCACCTTTCCTGGGGTGCTGGTCCTGTACTCAAAGCATTTTAACCTGCAGGTAACAACAGTACCGACGCTCCACGCTCCATTGACAGATAATGACTCCTGAAATAATGCTGCGTTCCATTTACCTCGGAAGGTGGAGCTCAGGAATCCAAGGAAACCAGAGTTGGATGCATTTCCTTTGCCACAAAACACGACAAGTCAAAGCAACATCGACCTGGTGTCGTCGTTAGCGACAGCAATCTGGCCAATTTGAGCAGCACCAGTTGATAAACGACACATCACGCAGCACGCCTATCGGCAACAGTAAGGCCGTGTTGTGAATACGACTTACAAAAATCAGACAAAAAAAAGACAAAAGTGCTACAAAAAAACCCCTGTAAAACGACAGCTTTTACTGCAGTCGATGTTCTCCGCAGCCATCTTGCTTTCTGAACTCGGGGTCCTCTGAGTTGGACCGAGTTGAGGAGCAGGAGCTAGGACACTGGAGGCCCTTCCATTTGTTACTTCCTGTCTCAGAACTTATTAGGTTGTTTACTAGTCAGTATACAGCACAAGGCTGCATAACGAAATGAAATGTGTTTCCTTCATGCGACACACACACACAACATATAATTAGGTGTAGGCCTGTATTAAAATATGGTAACATATAAAATGAAATAAAACAATATATACAGTTATTTATATACATAAATACAGACAGGTTTCCACACCGAACATTGCACAGTGCATTTTTTGAATTTGCATCTGCTAAACAGCTGCAACCAGATGATCTTCACAATAACCAGTCTGACATTTGGGAAACAGAGAATAATGCAAAAAAACTAAGTCAGAGTACAAATGGAACGCACTGAAAAACTAACTCTGGGTTTAACTGACGCACTGTAAAACATGAAATTGGAGCACAGCTGGTCTTTGTTCCTTTGGTAAGGGGACACGGTGTAAAAGACACAGGATGGACTTCAAGGTGTCCACAAAAATGCAAAAACAGACTAATCACAGGAAACCAACCCGTCCTCCCTCCCCGACTCATCACATATGGACGCATGGTCGAGACCCATTTGCGTCAGTTTGTAACGCACTGGGGATCCCTGTAGCGTCATAGTTTGATGCAGTGGGGGAAGCCCTGTAGCGTCAGTTTGTGACGGTAAAGGCAGGTATATGATGTTTAACAGGAAAGACTGAATAAGGAGGTTGTTGGGGTGGATGGAGGACCAGAACCCGACTTTGAAACAGGAGACCGGGGTTTGTGTCCCGTGTGAAACAAAAAGTCAACTTTAAATATTTTTATTGAAGTTACGTGAGTTAGTTTGTGGCGATCCGTCATTATCATTATTTTCCATTATCTAAGATTCACTTCAAGCACCAGTCACACCTCCATTATGTACCATTAACAATCAGGCATACACCGGAGTTTTCAGCCCCTTTTACCTTTTAAAAAAATGGTGGCACTTACCACTACACCACTGGAGAAGAGGCAGTGTCCGTCTGGCTGTGTTAAGATCAATTGCGTAAGTTATGCAAGTGACGTAAGTTAACTTACGTGTTAAATGACTTTCGTAGTTATTTTAACCCAAACCAGGATCTTTTCTGAACCTAAACCAAGTAGTTTTTGTGCCTAAACCCAGACAAATTGTAACGTTTCACGGCTTTAATAAAGTGCCGTTTCAAAATGGTAATGTTTCGAAACTCTAACTGGACGTTCCATGTTTATTGTTGCTAACTTTACCGGATGTTGTATATTTATTGTTGCCAACTTGACTGCCGAGCCTTAAACGTCTAAAAATGACACTGAACACGTACCCAGGGCGTGACGCCAAAGGGCCTTGACCAAGCGCCAAAATGTGACGAGTCGGGAGTGAAAACGTGTTGCGGAAACACAACTCTGCTTGGTGTCGGACTTCAGCTTCTACTTTTGTATTTTTATATGATCAGGTGTGCGAGGTTCTACAGGTCTGATGGGACTACCTGGTCATCTGGGTCCTAAAGGTTGTAACGGCCCCAATGGACCTCCAGGACCAAGGGGATCTCCTGGACCGATTGGTCCAAAGGGGGAGATGGGCGGAGTCCTCCCCTGCCCCACATACCCACCTACCCAGCTGGGCCCCCCAGGACCCCTGGCCCCTGCGGTCCTCCTGGATTTCCCGGTCTTCCGGGAGAAACTGGCCAAAAGGGGTCCAAAGGTGAGGAACAGGAGGGTGAAGTGTTTGGTCTTCCCCTCAGAACCAGCTCAGGTTAATTTAACAGCTTTCAGTTTCAGTCTCAGTTCAGCTGATAATTAAAATGGTTGATGATGTTTTTCAGGCTTAAAGGGAGACACTGGGTCTGTGGGACAGATAGGGTCCGTGGGGCCCCCAGGTCCAGATGGAAGCAGAGGACAGAAAGGCCTGTCGGGGGAGATTGGAATAGTGGGAAGCAAAGGTGAGACCTCCACCTGTCTGTCTCTCTGACAGCCTTTATCTGCCCGATTGTCTGTTAATGTTCCAACTGGTAAACAGTTTTTCCTCAGTTGAGTTCCAGTTTAGCGTTCATTAATTTCTTCTGCGTGTTAAGGTTAGTTACCCTGCCTTCTGATGGACACGTATGCTGTATTCCTAGTCTGAACAAGTTGTTATGGCGGAGCTAGTGAACCTGAGAGCAAGACTGCTTTAACACAGAGATCCCGCAATAAATGCGGAAAGAATGTCGGCCAATATGCCGCCTACGCTCATTCACACAGAACAAAATATTGTGTGCTTTCATATGGCGATCCCGCTTTCCGGCTTACTGACGGCTACAGCGTGACATCATTCCGCCTATGTTACTACAAACATTCCCGGCTCAGAGGCGGATCAGATCTGACCCCCTTTCCTGCTCTGTACCTTTCATACAGCACAGCGAGCCGGCATATTGACGTAATAATCCTGGAAAATAAGGCAGTCTGAAAGCGCGTTATTGAGAAAAAGAGAGTATGGAGAGGCCGTGGCACAAATATAAAAGAAACACTTGTGCTGAACCACACCCGTGTACTTTTGCTTACAAATTCCATAACTTTATTCACTGCTTTTGGTATTTTAAGGAGTTTCTAGATGGACAGATAGCTTTAAAGTAAACTGCTGCCGTGCAGTTAGCAGCCCTATTAGCTTAGCTGACTTTGCCCAGACTGTTTGTGTTTACACCCCTAGCACAGGAGCTTTGAACCCCCGGGAGGAGGAAATATTCAGACCCGGGCTCCAGTCAGCTACCTAATTGGACCTCTAGCTGCATGGCTAACTGAGCTGACTAGCTAATGGCAGCTACTTGAGGCGGCAGTAGCTCAGTCCGTTAGGACGGCTTGGAAACCAGAGGGAGGCACCATTTCGAGTCTAGCTCAGACCAGAGATACGGAGTGTGGACTGGCAGCTGGAGAGGTGCCAGTCCACCTCCTGGGCACTGCCGAATGTGTTGTTGCATGTGTATAGTGTGCCTTTTTCTTTTTCTACCATTCTTTTCTAGCATCAGTTAGCAGTTACTTTAGCAAAAAGTAAAGCCATCGTTCCATCAAGAAACTAACAAATTTTTCTTGAAAACTGAAAAAGCACTTTGTGCAAGACATAACGAACAACCTCTAAACACGGAAGAGTCCAGAGCAGAGAAGTCTCCACAGCCAGACCTCTCCACACTTGTTGTTAGCGCTGTGTAGAGAGCGGTCAAATAAGACAGACTGAGCGGGGGGGTGATGTCCCTGTACTTGAAAAGCTAATATTCAGAGTGGTCTGAAGCTTTCTGCTCACAGGGACTCTTTTACATACGTTAAACCTCATCAGATTACCAGTCACACTGTGCCCGTGAATTTAGGGTCCAGCTCGGGTTTTTGTGCAGTGCAGTCTCCTGTGTGGATTGGTTTTGTTCATAAAACTTACTGTGATCTGCGTTTCTCAGGTGATCGTGGTCCAGTCGGTGACTGTGGTTCCCCCGCTACATGCAGAACCGTAAACTCTGGCTTCCTGTTGGTGATGCACAGCCAATCAACGGAAGTCCCGCCCTGTCCAGCTGGCATGAACGCCCTGTGGGAAGGATACAGTCTGCTGTACCTGGAGGGTCAGGAGAGGGCTCACACGCAGGACCTGGGTATATAAACACACACATACTAAGGTTCCCTTGCTTTTCCATGATCCAGGCCTTTTTGGTTTCACAGACACTCCAGTGCCGCTGCATCCTCGTGACCCAAATTTTACTCCAAACGTGATCCATCCCCTGGACAATGCAGGACGCTCTTCTGCTTACAAAGTACCATCTTGCTGTGACCTCTATTGACAAAAAACAAACTCTAGTGTAAACAGTTGGTTAAAGTGCATCAGTTGTCCATCATTTGATCTCATGATCTCATCAGTGTTACTGACTTTAAACTTTAAGAAGTAAAGGTGTGAAACAGTGGCGGCTGGTGAAAAATATTTTAGGTGAGGCTTTGCCATATCCAGTCAGTTTTAAAACAGTAGCTGTTTTAAGGTGCGCGGTCTCACTGTGGCCGCGCAAGGCCGATGTTAACTCTGCCTAGCATGGCTAGCTTCACCGTGTTATTCATATGTGCCCTCGTACACTTGTGTTTCTTAATCTTCTCAGATAAATGTATCGTGTGGTTTACTCCTGTAACAGTCCGTGTTGTATTCGTCCCCGCTGTTTTAGAAAGAAAGCACGGGAGGCAAAATAAGGTATTTAAATCATTGCATCCAGCTAGCTGTCAACAACGTCACATGTCCCTCTACCACTGACTGACTGTGCTTGGGGCAGATCCTGGAGCGCCCTTCAGGCATCAGAGGACGCTGATTGGTTTAATTTCTGTTGCTATGGGCATATCTTGTGTCTTGGCTGCGCTGCTGTGCTGCCTGGACGCTCTCTCCAGCGCCCCAGAGGAGATCAGTGAATGAGCAGGAAGTTAATTTCACACCCAAACATCATTATTTAGCCTATATTTTATATATTACACATTATTGTGCATTTTAAACACACATATCCTTAAAAAGTACTTACTGTTTATTTCAAAAATGTTTATTTTAAACAGAAAAATCAAACACTTTCCACCCATAGACCCATGTATATAAAAAGTTTCCACCATCAGGGAGGGCAGCGCCCTAGCGCCCTCTATTGGCCAGCCGCCACCGGTGTGAAACAACCTTGCAAAAATAGTGAAGGAGTTTAAGGAAACGTTGTGGTCACAGAGACTAAAAACAGAAAACATCCAGCTTCTCCTGGAAGATCTTTAGGGGTTCCCACGTCTGATGGGACACATAATACTCTACTTGCCAGGGTCTCTGAGCCCACACAATCTAAAATACCTTTAAATGGCCAATACAACTCATGTAATACTGCACTTGCCAGAAAGTGACTGCAGCTTCTACTTATTGACTGAATTGTAGCGTCTGCCCTAAAAAGTGTTGATTTCATTAATGAAACAGTGGTTTGAGAGTCTGGGGGGTGTTGACTTACAGTAGTTTTATAAACTGTGTTAGTTTTAGACACATTAGGCTACATGTATGTGCTCTGTAAGTGAAAAACAGGTTACAGGTTTATTGTTGATCATGTAACGTTACAGTTTTTTTAGTAATAACGTTATAACGTTACCCTGCGTTTGAGAGTCTGCGGTTGATGTTGACTTACAGTAGTCAATAAAGCTGTCAGTTGCATTGCACATCACATGGTTGTGCTCTGTAAATGACAGTTACAGAATCCCTTATAGCTCTGCAGTTTTATAAGCAGCCTGGATTGAACACAGCAGGTGATACAACATTCATTATAACCACAAGTGACTTGAGACTCGACTTATACTCTAGCTCAGAGCCTCGACTTGGACTCAAGCTCATAGACTTGAGACTTGACTTGGACTCTAGCTCATAGACTTGACTTGGGCTCTAGCTCATAGACTTGAGACTTGACTTGGACTCTAGCTCAGTGACTTGACTTGGGCTCTAGCTCATAGACTTGAGACTTGACTTGGACTCTAGCTCATAGACTTGACTTGTACTCTAGCTCATAGACTTGAGACTTGACTTGGACTCTAGCTCAGTGACTTGACTTGGGCTCTAGCTCATAGACTTGAGACTTGACTTGGACTCTAGCTCATAGACTTGACTTGTACTCTAGCTCATAGACTTGAGACTTGACTTGTACTCTAGCTCATAGACTTGAGACTTGACTTGGGCTCTAGCTCATAGACTTGACTTGGGCTCTAGCTCATAGACTTGAGACTTGACTTGGGCTCTAGCTCATAGACTTGACTTGGGCTCTAGCTCATAGACTTGAGACTTGACTTGGGCTCTAGCTCATAGACTTGACTTGGACTCTAGCTCAGTGACTTGAGACTTGACTTGGGCTCTAGCTCAGTGACTTGAGACTTGACTTGGGCTCTAGCTCAGTGACTTGAGACTTGACTTGGACTCTAGCTCAGTGACTTGAGACTTGACTTGGGCTCTAGCTCATAGACTTGAGACTTGACTTGGGCTCTAGCTCATAGACTTGACTTGGGCTCGAGCTCAGACTTGACTTGGGCTCTAGCTCAGTGACTTGACTTGGGCTCTAGCTCATAGACTTGAGACTTGACTTGGGCTCTAGCTCATAGACTTGAGACTTGACTTGGACTCTAGCTCATAGACTTGAGACTTGACTTGGGCTCTAGCTCATAGACTTGAGACTTGACTTGGGCTCTAGCTCATAGACTTGACTTGGGCTCTAGCTCATAGACTTGACTTGGGCTCTAGCTCATAGACTTGAGACTTGACTTGTACTCTAGCTCATAGACTTGAGACTTGACTTGTACTCTAGCTCATAGACTTGAGACTTGACTTGGACTCTAGCTCAGTGACTTGAGACTTGACTTGGACTCTAGCTCAGTGACTTGAGACTTGACTTGGGCTCTAGCTCATAGACTTGACACTTGACTTGGGCTCTAGCTCATAGACTTGAGACTTGACTTGGACTCTAGCTCAGTGACTTGACTTGGGCTCTAGCTCATAGACTTGACTTGGGCTCAAGCTCATAGACTTGACACTTGACTTGGGCTCAAGCTCATAGACTTGAGACTTGACTTGGGCTCTAGCTCAGTGACTTGAGACTTGACTTGGGCTCTAGCTCATAGACTTGACTTGGACTCTAGCTCATAGACTTGACTTGGGCTCTAGCTCATAGACTTGACTTGGACTCTAGCTCAGTGACTTGAGACTTGACTTGGACTCTAGCTCAGTGACTTGACTTGGGCTCTAGCTCATAGACTTGACTTGGGCTCTAGCTCATAGACTTGAGACTTGACTTGGGCTCTAGCTCATAGACTTGAGACTTGACTTGTACTCTAGCTCATAGACTTGAGACTTGACTTGTACTCTAGCTCAGTGACTTGAGACTTGACTTGGACTCTAGCTCAGTGACTTGAGACTTGAAACTTGGGCTCTAGCTCATAGACTTGACTTGGGCTCTAGCTCATAGACTTGACTTGGGCTCTAGCTCATAGACTTGAGACTTGACTTGGGCTCTAGCTCATAGACTTGAGACTTGACTTGGACTCTAGCTCAGTGACTTGACTTGGGCTCTAGCTCATAGACTTGACTTGGGCTCAAGCTCATAGACTTGACACTTGACTTGGGCTCAAGCTCATAGACTTGAGACTTGACTTGGGCTCAAGCTCAGTGACTTGACTTGGGCTCTAGCTCATAGACTTGACTTGGACTCTAGCTCATAGACTTGACTTGGGCTCTAGCTCATAGACTTGACTTGGACTCTAGCTCAGTGACTTGAGACTTGACTTGGACTCTAGCTCAGTGACTTGACTTGGGCTCTAGCTCATAGACTTGACTTGGGCTCTAGCTCATAGACTTGACTTGGGCTCTAGCTCAGTGACTTGAGACTTGACTTGGGCTCTAGCTCAGTGACTTGAGACTTGACTTGGACTCTAGCTCAGTGACTTGAGACTTGACTTGGGCTCTAGCTCATAGACTTGAGACTTGACTTGGGCTCTAGCTCATAGACTTGACTTGGGCTCGAGCTCAGACTTGACTTGGGCTCTAGCTCAGTGACTTGACTTGGGCTCTAGCTCATAGACTTGAGACTTGACTTGGGCTCTAGCTCATAGACTTGAGACTTGACTTGGACTCTAGCTCATAGACTTGAGACTTGACTTGGGCTCTAGCTCATAGACTTGAGACTTGACTTGGGCTCTAGCTCATAGACTTGACTTGGGCTCTAGCTCATAGACTTGACTTGGGCTCTAGCTCATAGACTTGAGACTTGACTTGTACTCTAGCTCATAGACTTGAGACTTGACTTGTACTCTAGCTCATAGACTTGAGACTTGACTTGGACTCTAGCTCAGTGACTTGAGACTTGACTTGGACTCTAGCTCAGTGACTTGAGACTTGACTTGGGCTCTAGCTCATAGACTTGACACTTGACTTGGGCTCTAGCTCATAGACTTGAGACTTGACTTGGACTCTAGCTCAGTGACTTGACTTGGGCTCTAGCTCATAGACTTGACTTGGGCTCAAGCTCATAGACTTGACACTTGACTTGGGCTCAAGCTCATAGACTTGAGACTTGACTTGGGCTCTAGCTCAGTGACTTGAGACTTGACTTGGGCTCTAGCTCATAGACTTGACTTGGACTCTAGCTCATAGACTTGACTTGGGCTCTAGCTCATAGACTTGACTTGGACTCTAGCTCAGTGACTTGAGACTTGACTTGGACTCTAGCTCAGTGACTTGACTTGGGCTCTAGCTCATAGACTTGACTTGGGCTCTAGCTCATAGACTTGAGACTTGACTTGGGCTCTAGCTCATAGACTTGAGACTTGACTTGTACTCTAGCTCATAGACTTGAGACTTGACTTGTACTCTAGCTCAGTGACTTGAGACTTGACTTGGACTCTAGCTCAGTGACTTGAGACTTGAAACTTGGGCTCTAGCTCATAGACTTGACTTGGGCTCTAGCTCATAGACTTGACTTGGGCTCTAGCTCATAGACTTGAGACTTGACTTGGGCTCTAGCTCATAGACTTGAGACTTGACTTGGACTCTAGCTCAGTGACTTGACTTGGGCTCTAGCTCATAGACTTGACTTGGGCTCAAGCTCATAGACTTGACACTTGACTTGGGCTCAAGCTCATAGACTTGAGACTTGACTTGGGCTCAAGCTCAGTGACTTGACTTGGGCTCTAGCTCATAGACTTGACTTGGACTCTAGCTCATAGACTTGACTTGGGCTCTAGCTCATAGACTTGACTTGGACTCTAGCTCAGTGACTTGAGACTTGACTTGGACTCTAGCTCAGTGACTTGACTTGGGCTCTAGCTCATAGACTTGACTTGGGCTCTAGCTCATAGACTTGACTTGGGCTCTAGCTCAGTGACTTGAGACTTGACTTGGGCTCTAGCTCAGTGACTTGAGACTTGACTTGGACTCTAGCTCAGTGACTTGAGACTTGACTTGGGCTCTAGCTCAGTGACTTGAGACTTGACTTGGGCTCTAGCTCAGTGACTTGAGACTTGACTTGGGCTCTAGCTCAGTGACTTGACTTGGGCTCTAGCTCATAGACTTGACTTGGGCTCTAGCTCATAGACTTGACTTGGGCTCTAGCTCAGTGACTTGAGACTTGACTTGGACTCTAGCTCAGTGACTTGACTTGGGCTCTAGCTCATAGACTTGAGACTTGACTTGGACTCTAGCTCATAGACTTGACTTGGGCTCTAGCTCATAGACTTGAGACTTGACTTGGACTCTAGCTCATAGACTTGACTTGTACTCTAGCTCATAGACTTGACTTGGGCTCTAGCTCATAGACTTGACTTGGGCTCTAGCTCATAGACTTGACTTGGGCTCTAGCTCATAGACTTGACACTTGACTTGGGCTCTAGCTCAGTGACTTGACTTGGGCTCTAGCTCATAGACTTGACACTTGACTTGGGCTCTAGCTCATAGACTTGACACTTGACTTGGACTCTAGCTCAGTGACTTGACTTGGGCTCTAGCTCATAGACTTGAGACTTGACTTGGACTCTAGCTCATAGACTTGACTTGGGCTCTAGCTCATAGACTTGACTTGGACTCTAGCTCATAGACTTGACTTGGGCTCTAGCTCAGTGACTTGACTTGGGCTCTAGCTCAGTGACTTGAGACTTGACTTGGGCTCTAGCTCAGTGACTTGAGACTTGACTTGGGCTCTAGCTCAGTGACTTGACTTGGACTCTAGCTCATAGACTTGACTTGAGCTCTAGCTCAGTGACTTGACTTGGGCTCTAGCTCAGTGACTTGACTTGGACTCTAGCTCATAGACTTGAGACTTGACTTGGGCTCTAGCTCAGAGACTTGAGACTTGACTTGGACTCTAGCTCATAGACTTGAGACTTGACTTGTGAGAATCTCTGGCTAGTCTCGTCCAAATATCATCACGTCCGGCGCCTGGTTGCAAAACATGGTGACGGGCAAAATGCCAAACTCGAGGCTTCAAAACAGTAGTCCAGAAATCAAGGGGTGACGTCACGGCGGTACAGTCTATGCTCTCATCCTGCTTCATGCTCACTGAAGATCACGGTTTGAGGAAACCAACAGAACCACAGCAGAGCAGAGGACAGAGATGCAACACCTACACTCTCCTCACTTTGACTGCAACTCCACATTAGTGTCCCTGCAAGAGAAGGCAGATGGTCCACATCAATCCTCCTGAATCTGAGGTTCAAACATCAGAATCAACTTTCAGCAGCTTTCCCAGTTTGGCTGAGCCATGTTATTGCCTAATAGCTATAAATAATAAATGTGAACTCCCACCCCGGTCTGCAAAAACACAGGTACCGGCTTCCGACCTCAACAAATCTCAAGGAAACATCCTGTCTCGGAGTTTTTATCCTTCCTGGATCTACAGAGATTCACTAAGTGTCCAAACAAGGTTAATGTTCACACCTGTATACTGTGTGTGAAGAGTCTAACACTAACGTCTAACGTCTGTCTGCCATGAATAAACTATTCTACCAGCTCTGCCTCCTCTATGGAGGATGTGTCAGCCAGGTTCAGGAGTTCCTCAAAGTGTTCCTGCATTAATGTTCCCCTGGAGAACCACGTACACACAACAACATGTTCCTTAACAAGCTGTTACATTTGAGATATATATATATTTATTAATTAATATTTGTACTCATAATATTTCCAGGTCAGGCGGGGTCGTGTGTGCGGGTCTTTTCCACAATGCCATTCTCCTCCTGTAACACGGAAACCTGCTCTTACGCCAGTCGTAACGATAAATCCTATTGGCTGTCGACGACGGCAGCCGTCCCCAGCACGCCCGTGGACGGACCCTCCATCAGAGAACACATCAGCCGCTGTGTGGTGTGTGAAGCCCCCTCCTCACCTGTCACACTGCACAGCCAGACCTCCATTCAGCCAGGCTGCCCCCCCAACTGGAAGAGCCTGTGGACCGGATACTCCTTCCTCATGGTGGGTACTGCAGTGGTTGAGGTAATACTGCTAATAGTGCTACTGATACTAGTACTGTTAATACTGTCACTGCCACCCAGTTCTCCCTCTTCGACTCGTCACATATGGACGCGTGATCGAGGGGGGCGCTGTAGCGTCAGTTTGTGACGGTAAAGGCAGGTATATGATGGTTAACAGAAAAGTCTGAGTAAAGATTTGGGTGGATTGAGGGCCAGAACCCCGACATTGACGTACGTAGTTATTTTATCCCAAACCAGGATCTTTTCCTAACCTTAACCAAGCGGTTGTCATGAAACCAAACGTTTCACGACTTTGATAATGTGGTAAAATGGCAATGTTTCAAAACGCTAGCGTTTTTATTTTGAAAATCTAACCGGACATTGCATATTTGTTGTTGCTAAGCATTGCTAACTTGACAGTAAAGGCCTTAACGTCTAAAAATGACACTAAAAGGGTAAAAAAGTGACGCCATCGGGGTTTGACCAAGCGTCAATATGTGACGGGTCTGGAGTGAGAACGTGTCGTCACTGTCGTACTACTACTACTGATGGGCCTGATGATACTGCTGCTAATCCTGTTGCTGCAGTAAGTACTACTACACTACAGAAGACTAGAATGAATGTGTTTAAATTTGATAAACAGATTTCCTCCACTGTTAGATGGTGCTTCTTCCAGTTGAGACCTATAGCCAAGGTAGAGGCCTGTCTCCCTCCTGAAGATGTAGAGAGGGTGATTAACGCCTTCATAACTTCCCGTCTCAACTGTTGTAACTCTTTATGTGTGGGCTTAAACCAGTCATCCATTCAACGCCTGCAGCGAGTCCAAATTGCTGCTGCCGCTCCTGATGGGAAAGAAAAAGAGAGACCACAAACTCTATTCATGGATTGGCGCCGCCTTACCCAGCAGAGCTTCTTCACATTCACACAGTGTTGAGATCGACCCCTCTGCTCCTCCTGGAAGTACCTAAAAGCATTATAATAAATATATATATATATATATATATTTGTTTGTATTTTTTTAACCTTGTAAAGTACCTTGGTCAACCTTGGTTGTTTTAAGCGTATTATATAAGTAAAGTTGACATTGACATAGAATACAAGTACAGTCCGAGTACGACTACTTGTAGTGCTTAAGATGAGAATACTTCTACTATTGAAACTCCAACTACTGCTAGTGCTGCCCAGCAAACTGTTGATGCTAACATACAAGAGATATGCAAGTGACATTAAACAGTCCCTCCAGGACTCGGCGGGCCTGACCCTGCGTATTTAAACCAGCTGACCTTGATTCTGTCCTGCAGCTGAGCGGGACGCAGCGTCTCAGCGTCTCGTCTGACGTCCTCCGTGTGTTTCTGACGTTCTCTCTCAAAGCGTTTGTCAGGAGACGATTTCCTTTATGTTCGACCACGACGCTGCACGCTCTGCAGAACAGTTTCCCCGCTTTGGTGACGAAGATCTGGATCCTGAGTCTTCACGGTGCCCTTTGCTGTTGTTTTTGTAGGTAAATTTGAGACGTTGGCGTCGCACACGTCTGCTGCGTCTTCTGAACAAGGAAGTGAGTTTGCTGACGTTTGGCGAGAAACGTAGATGAGAGGTCACATTTGCGGAAAGGTTGTAGAGATGGGCCAAAATTGCAAGTCGCGCTGAATTCACAGGGATTTGTTGAATTTGTGTTGATAGTTGCGATCGCGACATTGCAAAATCCTGGAGGGACTGATTGGTACTAATACTATACATATGCAGACACTACTTCCAACTTCAGTTTCAGATACCACTACTGCTAATGCAGCTACAAATTAGGCTGCTGCTATTAATACAAAAATCTGATACTAAAAACCAATAAAATTAAAAGTTAATGCTACTAATAAAAACCAGATAATAATAAAATACTGGTACTAATACCATAGTAATACTACAGTTACTCTAACTGTTACTGCTGCTAACTCTCTTGCTCTCAGCTGAAACTTCGCTCTGGATAAACACTGAGTTCAGCGCCGCCAAAACATAGCAAAACATTTATTTCAACGGACACGGTGGTGCCTTGAACACGCCGTTGTGTACTCAAGCGCACTGATTTTTAACTCCGCTTTGTTTACAATCTTCTGTCACGCCCACCAAACGGGAAAAAAACATACCTCGAAGCCCGTCGCGCAACGTTGCAAACGTCATTTAATCAGAAAAGGATGCAAAACGTTTTGAGATTTTTTTTGAGAACTTGCCCCTGATGATGATGATGTCATTTCCTGTGTGGGTTGCAGCATACAGGTGCAGGTGATGAGGGCGGTGGCCAGTCTCTGACGTCATCAGGCAGCTGTCTTGAAGACTTCAGGGCCCAGCCCTTCGTGGAGTGCCAGGGGCCTCGAGGAACCTGCCACTACTTCGCCAACATCTACAGTTTCTGGCTGGCCAGAGTGGAGGCGACCGGCTCCAACGGCGCCTCCACCACGCTGACCGAGGGCTGGCAGCAGAAGGAGAACATCGGGAGGTGCAACGTCTGCATGAGGGAGTGAGGAGGAGGAGCACCGCCTCCTCCAGCTCCTCCTGCATGAGGGAGTGAGGACATGCGTCACCTCCTCCTCCTGCAGAGTCTGAGAGGACAGACAGGACGAGACTCGTTTGTTCGTCTCTGTGAGGGGAGACCGTCACGTTAAAGACCCCGCTGCCAATCAATCAGTCAGATTGTTCAGATCAACAGGACTGACTCCTGCAGCACCAACACTCCCACTGGGTTATTCTGTCGACCGTGTTTTAGCAGAGGGATCTTTGAACTGAGAAAGTCTGATGTTAGTTTTTAATTTTAGGCTGACCACCTCCTTTTCAAATCAGCACATAAAACAAGCTGCTCGAGCTACTGATCTTCAACCAAGTCCAGTTGCCCTTCATTTTAACCCTCGTTGGACACATAAAACAAGATTTTAATATCAACATGTATGCTCACGGGTAGGTGTGGCCCTCCTGTCATTTAAATCCTCCCCAGAGTGACGTTCTTGTATTTAAAGTCGATCTCTGAGTTTTGATTTTTATTAACTCTGTGTGAAATTTGTCAGTAAAATCTCTTAATCTGGCTTAAACTAGCTGAGCTCCAGTAGGAAGCTCATCACATCTCTGGCTTCTCCTGCCTTTATTTTCCATTATCCATTAAAAGTATGCAGAATTATCTAATAGCATCTTCTGTTAGCAGTGTACCTATGCACGTACACACAGCGCTCACTGGATCTCTGCGATACCTAAAAACGTCTGCATTTTGTGATTTTTGGACATTTATTCTGGACGGATATCTGTGATAATGTTCCCGGGAAGTGCACGTCACACTTAAATTCAACTCAGCAGATTATCAACACAGCACAGAGCTTCATTAGCTGTTAACATTAGCTGCTCGAGCTACTGATCTAGTTTATGGGTGCTAAACTTTTAGCTCGAAAATTCACGTCTTTTCAAGCGACTTTGTTTGCAATCGCACCACTTTTTTAAAATTCACTAGAATCCCCTTTAACCCACACAGACAGGTGCGTCGCATTTATTGTATGAATATCATTAGGTCGGAGGATCCAAGTGCGGTGAATAACGTGAGTACAGGTGATGGACAGCATGCAGGATTTGTTCATAGCATGTAATATAAATCTGGAAATGAACACCATAAACAAAAGCAGCTTTAAACGTCAAGGCTGCAACAGACAGTACTCTGTTATATATTTCAACACTGGTAAGAGAGTTTCAGGAAAGTTTGATGGTTATCGTGATAATATAGTTTACTGTGATATTTTTGGGCGCATAATCACAGCATAAAATGTGATCAGCACACATTATCAGTACAGTTAGTGGTGCCTTTTCAGCCCAGTTCAGAGTTTCAGAGTACAAAACATTTGATGAGACATTAAAACTGTGAAACACAAGTGAACACACATTTTTAAAACATCAGTTTGGATTTTAAAGTTTCAGTGTGTAAGTTGTAGTGCCATCTAGTGGTGAAGGTTGCGAGTAAGAGAAGCTACGTCTAAAAACGTGGTCCTACTACCACTGCTTCTTCTTCGTACGTATTCTACGTAGTGACAGAACGCGCTCTGTAGAGCAATTTGTCCATTTAGGCTACTGTAGAAACATGGTGGTGCAACATGGGCCCTTCCACGTAAGAGGCCCCGCGGTGTCTGTAGATAGAAATGTCTCATTCTGAGGTAATAAAAACATAACGGTTCATAATGTAATGTCTTTATACACCACTGAAAACATAGTTATGGATCTGATATTGCATTTCTGTTAATAAATCCTCAGAAATGTTCCACACTGAACCTTTAACCAACCGTCATCAGACTTTAAACATCGAGGTGCCGGGTCAGAAAACACAGACCATCATCTTGTTTTAAATTTTCAGTATGTGCAACTGCTTGTTTGTGTGATCAACAGACGAGAGTTCTACATTACATTTATTCATTTAGCTGACGCTTTTATACAAAACGACTTACAATTGCTATACATGTCAGAGATCACACGCCTCTGGAGCAACGAGGGGTTAAGTGTCTTGCTCAGGGACACAATGGTGTTTGTGCTGCAGTGGGAATTGAACCCAGGTCTCTCCACTGCGCGATCGCCACCCCAGGTCTTAAGGGAAATAAAATACTATGTTATATATCAGCATGTAAACTGAAAAGATAAAGGACCAACGAAGGAACCATGAGGAACCCCATGAGTAATTATAAGTCATGTTCTCAATATTTTTCTTATAATCCATCTTTCAGATTATTCTTATGAAAATTAGACTCTCCTGGTGAAATGTACCACTAGGAGGCGCTCAAATCAGAATAGGTGCGTTCGAGATCATGCGCTGACTTGATAGTCTAATGTGAGCTGCAGGCGACTGCAGGGTTGGGGTATAAAAACACAGCCGTCAAGTCGGACACGTTCTACTTCTGAAGAGTGTCTGAGCTTAGAACAAAGACGGTTCCCACTCGTAGCAGAAAAGCAACTGCGGTAGCCGGACTCAGAAACCTGCAACCGCCCCGCGAGGTTTAAATGTCATGTGACATGGAGACGTTTTGTATCTCTAACCAGTATCAAAAATCCTTTTAGGCTAGTCACGCCACTCGGCCGCCATCTTGGCAACGCCTCCGGGCAGCTATTTCGGACTAACAAGACCAGGTTCCTGTCTGAGTGATTGGACAGCCAGAGCTTCACTTTCACAGGCCACCGGGACATAAAATCTACATGAATAGAATGTAGCAGTAAAATCTGATAAAAATCGCTGAAAGACTTTGACGACTTCGCCCCAAAATAAGGTTTAAAAAGCGTTTTTCCCGACCGGTTAAACTTCTACTACACATTGGTCACCACTTCGCACATGCGCAGTAGAAGTACCTATATGTCAGTGGAACCACACGATTGGCTGAAATATGTTTCCCGCTTTGGCTGTTAAAAGCAGACGATTGGCTTTCTAGCAGGAGGGGCGGGATAGCCGCCATCTTTGCCGTTACAGGCTTTCCCCATAGAGTTGTGTTGAGGATGTGATTGAGTGGTCAAACGCGCCCATTAAAATCCTACACATCAGAGCAAGTCGTCAGCTGAAGCAGTGGAAGTTCTGAGGCCTCGTTTTGGTAAATGATTTATTCATCAGAAATTTGGGAGTGACTCTTAAAACAAAGAAGCTGATGTTGTAAACTGTTCAGGAGCTCATACTAATCTTTATTGATCATCCTTTGTTTGTATTTGATCTTAACTGTCGGATTATTTTAACAGTGACCGTGTTTGTGCCGACCTGTTAAACACCTGGGGTGGTGATGGCGAAGTGGATAAGATACATGCCTATGGTGTGAGAGACCCGGGTTCAACTCCACCATTGTGTCCCTGAGCAAGACACTTAACCCCTCGTTGCTCCAGAAGCGTGCGACTTCTGACATGCATAGAATTGTAAGTCGCTTTGGATAAAAGCGTCAGCTAAATGAATAAATGTAAACACGCTGTTCATTCGCGCCGCTCACACGCTCAGTGCATAGCAAGCCGCAAGAGCTGATGTCACGTCCTGTGATGTGGCAGCTGATTGGTTGTTGGCGTCGACATGATGTTCTCCCCTCCCCGGAGTGAACGACGAACACCTGAGTGAACTGTAGCCCCGCCTCCAGACCCGCCCACAGCCCAACCAGAAATATGCCTTCTGATTGGTCAGCTGAGAGGCAGTGACTGGTGTCGTTGGTCAGTCAGTATTCTGTTAACACGTAAAGAATCGCGTGAGAAGCTGTGAATATATTTGACATTAAACCTTGAAACCTGTTTTTTTTTTTTTTGTTCCAGTTTTCCTTCAGAGCAGACGTGTTCGGAGCTCCTCCCTCAGCTCGTGTTCTTTATTCATGTTTTTAAAGTTTCAGTGTAAAAACAAAGAGAGAAGTGATTAAACTCAAAGTTTCTTTAACATCTTAGTAGTGACGATCTGTCCTGTTACTCCGAGTCGAACATCGAAACAGGACGAGCTGCAGCGCAGAACCAGGACCGGAACCAGAAGCTGATTGGGGTTTTTTTTTTAATCGGTCATCTTCTTGTTGTTATAAAGTTCACTTGAATATTTATCTGTAGTCGCTGTCACAATACAAACGTTTTAATATTTACAAAGTTAACAGGATGAACTGCTGAAAACGTTTTAGTAGAGGTTTTGTGGTGTTTGTCTGCTTTTCAGTTAAAGGTTCTGGTTCTGGTCCTGCTTCTGGTCTGTGTTATCTCTCTGTGATTTGTAAATATGTTTGAACTCTACCGTTTTATATTTTTACTGTAAATGTCATCAAGAGTATTTATTTAGCCTGAAATTCATGTTGATTTGATGTTTCATTTGTTCTTTTTTATTTTATTTTGGTAAATAAAGACACAGTGTAACCCAGCCCCTCTCCTCCCTCCTACAAAATAAAATTCACAACGCATTAACACGTGTTTTTAACTGACGGAGGACTCTGATCTTTTTTGGTTTGGTTTTTGTAATCCGAAAACTTATCAGGATGTAAAATGAATTTAAAGCAATAATAAAAAAAAATGATTATCATGTCAGATTTTTTCGGGGAAGGCTTACGATCAATATGCCCCACCCCTTTGAACATACATGTAACTACAGCTCCCATGATGCTTTGGGTGGAGGCCTGTGTCTAATACTGATGATTTAAAAAAAAATTATGAATGACATGAGTAAATTACTCAAGGAGGGGGAGGTGTCACTGTGTTTTTATTGTATTTAAATCTGTCTGTTATATTTTAATCTCTGTAGGAGGAAACTTCTCACTAACATTTTACTCTCTGTGGACCGACGACTCTTCAATAAATTGCATCAACTTTCACTCAGATTCTTTATTTTAGTCCAGAAATTTACACAGATTATAAAAAAATCTGTTTGTTCTGAAGAAAATCTTTTGATTTCTATCAAACTTAATCATTTAGTAAAAAACTGGGAAGCGTCAAGTCAACAAGGAGAGGTTTAAACATTGACATATCTGCACTGATTTACACTTGCAATTATTCTACCAAAGCTTTATTCTGTTTTACAAACTGCTTTATTGGTAAAGTCAATAAAGACGAGAAATGTGAGGGCAGAGGAGAGGTTTGACCCGAGAAAATGGTCTGAGGCCGGAATTGACCTGGCAATGTTGTGATTACACTGTACGCATCTTAACTACTGAACCAGAGGCTTTAGACAGGTCTTTCTTGAAAAAATATCAGTAAAGTATCCTAAAAATACTTAACTAATATATCCTAAATAACATTAGAATAATATCTGAAAAAAAAATCAGTAAAATATCTAAGAGAAAAATAGTGAAATATCTGAAAAAATGTGTAAAATATTGAGGAAACATTAATATATCTGAAAAAACAGAAAAATCTGAAAAAAACATTAGTAAATATCTGAAGAACATTAGTAAATATTTGAAGAAACATTAGTAAATATCTGAAGAACATTAGTAAATATCTGAAGAACATTAGTAAATATTTGAAGAAACATTAGTAAATATCTGAAGAACATTAGTAAATATCTGAAGAACATTAGTAAATATTTGAAGAAACATTAGTAAAGTATCAGAAAAACATTAGTAAATATGTGAAGAACATTAGTAAATATGTGAAGAACATTAGTAATATCTGAAGAACATTAGTAAATATTTGAAGAAACATTAGTAAATATCTGAAGAATATTAGTAAATATTTGAAGAACATTAGTAAATATCTGAAGAAACATTAGTAAATATCTGAAGAACATTAGTAAATATTTGAAGAAACATTAGTAAATATTTGAAGAAACATTAGTAAATATCTGAAGAACATTAGTAAAATATCTGAAAAAACAGTAGTAAAATATCTAAAAATACAATAAAATTTTTTAAAAAACATTACGTTACGTTATGTATCAAGGTGAAAAAAATGTGATGATAACTTTAACTGGAAGTAGACCTGTTATGGATGCTCATGAATACATTTTGCAAGTTGTTTTCCCCATCACTGTTACAGCTGCTAGAAATGTCTCCAATTAGACCTTTAAAACTGCATCAGCAAAAAAAAAAAAAAACTACCAATTAAAATAAAGAGAAATGAAAAATCCATATAAATTTTTATAAATGTAATGACTCATAACTTAAAAAGACCTGCATTATCCTCGGATCAGACCCTACAGGACATACTGATTAATTGCACAAATCAGAGAACAGCAGTCAGTGATCTGATCTGTTTTATTGTCATTAAAAGCTGCAGATTCATTTAATACATCCACATTTACAAGAGACGGAGGACAGAATGGAAAAGTGCTTCTCAGCTGGAAGGAAATTAAAAGCATGGGAGGAGAACAATGCCCTCCCGTGGTTTCAATGTGTAACTACACCTTTAAGTTCTAAAAGTTTCACAAATAAGTGTTTATAGGAACTGTTAGTATGCTGCTGAGTCGGCCTTTGCACTCGGTACAGTCGATCTATGCCTAAATTTTCATATGATAGTTAATTTTTGGTCAGGGAGATCTCAAATATCAGAGCCTCCATGAATGCACCAATGGGATATTTCTCAAAACTTTGAACAAAACATTAGATTTTTAAAAAAATTTAGTAAAAGTAAATTTGTCTGGAAAATGATTAACAAGAATTTAAATATTTGCAGTTTATGAGCATGTAAAACCATAAGTGAGGAAATGGAGAATAAACCATTAAAATATGAGAAGACATTAAATCTGTAGTTCTGTCACTCAATTGTCAACAGAGTGAGCGCTCTCCTTTCATTTCTAACAAATATTCTGCAGTAAAAGTCGGCAAAAACAAACAATAAATCTCTCTTTATCTCTGCATCCCACATATATCATAAACCTCATCACACCAAAGAGCTTGAAGTATAATCACTGCTTTAAATACACCGTCAGCACGATAGAAACTCAGATCATCGTCTAGTACCTTTGATTAAAAGTTATTTTCTTTTACATCATGTGCAACAATAAAACTACAATCTGTTCTGAAGCGTCCTGGTATTAGAAACACATTCATAAGAGGTCAAGCAAGATCCTGTGAAACTGTGAAGGCTCAGAAATCCCCAAAACAAAACCCAGATTACAGTGTGAGGAGGAGTTTCTGCACGTCCTCATGTGGTTTTCATTCACTGATCCACATCTGTTGGATCTCAGTCCAGGTTCCTGTTCAGTGATCCTGGATGTACAGACTGTAAAAGTCAGCGGTCCCGATGGTCAGATGGACTCAGTCTGGTTCAGTCCTCCCGTTCTGGTCTATGTCCCTTAATGCATTTCAGTCCGGAGAACTGGTTTCCTTTTGTTTGTCCTCTATTAAAGTGCCTTTCAGCCCAAAGTCCAACGCAGACGAACGCGACAGAACAGCTCCCATATGAACAACACAAACCTAGAAAATCGTGTGATGATTTGATATAAATGTGAAACGTAGTCCTGGTTGAGACAAACCGGCACGTGATGCCTGAAACATATGTTCAAGACCTGGTCACAGCAGTTTAACCCCCTCTGATGACAGGACCTCACCTCCCCATTTTGACTCTGTGTTGTTTGAATGCATATAGAAGGACTTTGCTTACATACAACTAACTAACTAATTGATGTTCGCCCAGTACAACCACGTGAAGCAGACTGTGATCAAGCTGAAAACATAAACCTCTCTTGTTGTTGGTGTCTGCAAAGTATTTCTAAACTCATACAGACTTATAAATGTCAAAAAAAAAGCAAGGATTTTTGAACTCCTTGCTGGTCAGGATAAAAAGGGATCATCTGTTACATCATTAACAAACATAATCACGCAAATTTCCCTTCTGTTCACATCATTAACAAACATAATCACGCAAATTTCCCTTCTGTTCAGTGCACAACGGTTGCGTTGGATTCATGCACAGTGTACTAACCACAGACTGTATGTGCGTCAAGTACCCTGGTTTTATGCACTGTAATTATAGTTAATTATTAATAATATTAATAATATTATTGCTGTACTGTTTTATTATGTTATGAGGTGACCTTGAGTGTTCAGAAAGGCGCCTATAAATAAAATGTATTATTAGGGATCCAAGCAGCAAAGCTAACCCTACTGGTTATGTTCTGATTATTCTTCTCTCTTTCTTTCTTTCCGCTAAAAGTGTTGGACAAAAACTCACCAAAATTGGCAGGTGCGTTGCAAATTCCACTCACAACTCAGGCAAAAAAAAAAATGGCCCTCATAAACCTCATGGTGGAGCTATAACAATCAACTTTGCGTTTTTGCAATTATCTCGAACAGCTTTTTCATCATTTTAATCTCTGGATTCATCTGCATCTTTGCTCTTCTGCTCTAAAAATGTCAAATTATACGACTTTTTATCTCTTTTCTCTAAAACCTATTCGAACTCGTCCCAGACGGCTTCACCAATCGACCTGAAACTTTGGCAGGATCATCTACAGACGTCGCTGATCAAAAGTAATCAAAAGCATTTTGATACGTTTTATTTCATAAATTTTTACTTTTGTGTATTTACGTACAATTTTACATAAATGCCCAAAAATCTAAATTCGCTTAAGCTATTGTCACCAAACTGGACGTGTCTGTTCGGATGATCGTTCCGAGCTTCGCTGAGCAATAAAGTTTATACCTCGGAATTTGCTTGATGGGTTCGTCCAAATTCTTCCATCATTTTAATCTCTTAAGTCGTCTGCGTCTGTTCTTTTCCTCTGAAAATGTAAATTCTTGCGTTTTTCTTGACTTGCTTGGATCCCGATCATTGACGCTTGCGGCTATATTTTATTATTAAAAGAAGTGGGTGCAGCCACCGTGACGTGGCTTGTAGACTACCGTTTTCAAGCCTAGAGTTTGGCCTTTTGGCCGTCGCCATCTTGATTTGTTGGATCCCTATCTGCACACGCGCAAAAGTGGTCCTGTCTGTCAAAGAAGGTTACCACAAATGTGCTTGTTTGTAATTACTCGTGTGTAGTCGTCTTTTCTCATCTCAGGGAGTCAAAACGGATCCGGTGTAGCTACCAGATGTGCTCGGGTGGTCGGATCTGGCTGTACGTTTGTATGATGACGCGGCAGATGGTGATTGGCTGTATGTGTAGTGTTCACGGGTTGTTTTTGGTGAATAAATGTTACAACGCTAATGTTAGCGGCTGATCAAGTTAAGCTAACGTATGTGAGTGTGTACGTTGTTGCCATATTGCCAAAGCAAATGTGAAATAAAGGCAAAAATATTTACCGACAAATAAAGACCCCGAGCAGATCTGATACCTAAATTTATAAATGGGGCACAAAGTAGCTTAACTTGTTTGGCAGCTAACATTAGCGTTGTAGTATTAATTAAACGTATTGTGGCTTTCTGCTCTCAGGGCTTTTACAGCTGATGGCCAGGCTGTGGTAAGTCCCGTTTAATAAGTGATGTAATGTGATATTAGCTGGGATGCTAATTTTGGCTAGCAACAAACAGGCTTTCAGAAAAATGACCTGCCAACTCGTAATAAGCTTTTTCAGCGGCGCTGGTTAAATGTAGACAGAGCAGCGGATACGAGTCGCCTCTATCCTGATTGACAGGTCGCCATGGTAACGACTTGCCAATCAGCTTGTAGCCCCGCCCTAAAGCCTCCCCTGCTTCCTGGTCTCTGTTCCTCTAAATGGGACCATAATTTACTAAATGAACATCATGCTGACTTGAGTTTATGTTCTCAGTCGCTAGTTTCATCAGGAAAGTGTTTACTGAGGGAATAAATTAGCTGAGAAGTAGAAACATTTTCTCAGAGACTTCTATACAATCACACTTCTTTCTGCAGCCGCTGGAGTCGCCCCCTGCTGGCTGCTGGAGAGAATGCAGGTTTAAGTCGCCCCCTGCTGGCTGCTGGAGAGGACGCAGGTTTAAGTCGCCCCCTGCTGGCTGCTGGAGAGGACGCAGGTTTAAGTCGCCCCCTGCTGGCCGCTAGAGAGGACGCAGGTTTAAGTCGCCCCCTGCTGGCTGCTGGAGAGGACGCAGGTTTAAGTCGCCCCCTGCTGGCTGCTACAGAGGACGCAGGTTTAAGTCACCCCCTGCTGGCCGCTAGAGAGGACGCAGGTTTAAGTCGCCCCCTGCTGGCCGCTAGAGAGGACGCAGGTTTAAGGCGCCCCCTGCTGGCCGCTAGAGAGGACGCAGGTTTAAGTCGCCCCCTGCTGGCTGCTAGAGAGAATGCAGGTTTAAGTCGCCCCCTGCTGGCTGCTAGAGAGGACGCAGGTTTAAGGCTCTTCTTCCGCATTTGCCTCACTTTCAGACATGGAGGTTCCCACTTGGTACTAACAAGGTATCCAAAATGAAACAGCTTTCTTTCACATCTTGCTAATGTTAAAATGTTTTTATAAAAGACTGAAGTTATCTGCTCCGTAATAACTGAACATTTTACTCTTGTCTTTCTTGGATTTTTACTTGTAGCCTATTTCTTTTTTGCACAGCAGATTCTGGTAGCATCTCAAAGACTTGAATTAACCGTGAGAAGCAGCAGCCTGTTTGCTTTTATACTCTGAACATAAAGGGATGCATGGGTTGTTTGTTTAAATTTTATTTGATGTGACCAGGTCTTAACCCTGAATGTCCGTTTTTTTCCTCCACAGGTGAAAATAAACGAGTTTCCATATGTAGGGGAGAGCCGGGACAATTGAAACACTTTTCAGATAAACGCCATTTTAAAAGACACCGTTACAGACAGAAGTTCTTTTTTTGTTTTGCTATAATAAAGAACTCACAGGTGTGTTCGATCAATAACCAGGTGATATGTTGTACACATGTGGAACAATTATGGTTTAATTTGACGGTATATATTTAAATTGTTTATGTAATCGGTGTTAGTTAAAATGTCGAACATCATCCTTCTGAATATCACTGCAGACACATTATGTCCTTTATCTTAATAAACATGTTACATTTAACTTTAGAACATATGGCCTATCAATCAATGCAAGTGTTTTAATCGTCCAGACGGTGACTCCTGACTTTTAAACTGGACTCTCTTTTATACAGAAAAATTTTGAGATTTCATTTAAAAAAGTGAATTTACTTTCTGTTGTTGAAAACAGCTTCTTTTTCTGTTGACGTATCCACCTGATATTTAACGGTTCTGCTCAGTACTGCGTTCTACAGATCAGACACGTACGGACTCTGACAAAACTGCTGTGTTACTTTCAGCCCGGCTCTCCCCTACATTTTCTTTTCCACAGAAGAAATCCTAAATTCCCAGAAGAAAAGTACGTTTTTAAATCGTTTTTAAATCAGTTTGTCGTGTTTCAATAAAGAGAAATGGGTGAGCAGTTGATTCTTGTCTCCTGTGGTGGAGAGGCTGATAAAGTCAAGCCTTCGTCTGCACACCGACCGAGACGAGAACAGATTTTCAGTCCATTTCTCGTAGTCACCTTCTCCCGTCATCATCACTCCTCGTCCACCAGGGACTTCTGTCTTTTCCTTTTCTTTGCCCATGTGATGGGTTTCCCCTCAGCAGTCAGTGCTCAGATTATTTTCTCATCAGGATCCCAGAAAGGAAAAGTGTAAATGAGTCAGAATGATTTAAAGTTTAGTCCTAAAGTCTGCGCTGGACATTTAAACCACTTTCCTGCTGTTTTTCCTCAAACATCTCCTGGAAAGAAAAGAAGATTCCTTGAAAGCAGCAGCCTGGTGGAAAGGCACAGTCAGTTGGTAATCATCATGTTGAAACTATTGTTAAATGGGGTTAAATTGGGAATAAAAACCACCACAACAGCCCCGGGTGCGAGCTCTGGTGACCTCCGCTCACAGGACGTCGTCAGAGTTTTCCTGGACGGGCGCTCGGGTTTTGCGTCGGCGTGGTCGCAGCGTGGTGAAGCAGGACGAGGCGGTGAGGGCGATGCGGCTCAGGCCCACGTTCAGGCAGTGGACCTCGGAGGTGACCGGCACCTCAGAGAAGAGGGCGCGATCCCGGGACAGGCGAGCCAACCCGCCGCTGCCCCCACCACCATCGCTGCTCTCGATGTCTTTGACGATGTTGAGGATCTCCTGACGCTCCGCCTGCCGAGTCACCCCCCGGATGTTCAAAATGGCCGACACGTGCTTCTTCCTGAAACACAGAGAGGCGGGGAGGGAATGCAGGCAGCATGTTAGGATCTTTGTGCGTCTGGCAGAGCAACTACGCTAAATACAGATAAAGTCTGAAAGTTTTAAACTCCGGGGTGGCGTGTTAGTGCCGACAGGTGAAAACGATGACGCAGACGCTCACGTTAGGCTTCCTGATCGGCTCTTATCAGTCATGCAAAGCAGAAACACAATGCTGCTGACAGAGTTTTGGTGTTTTTATTAAAATACGTTGTACTGTGTAAATAACACATACTGTGCATGTCTCAGTATTTACTTTGCGTCGACTCCCAGTCTGTTTCCCGCTGCCTCTTTGTCCTCCCGCGTTCCTTTCAGTAACAGTTCCACCTCGCTGTCGGTCCATGCAAAGAAATCTCTGCAGTGGTTCTTCGCCATCACTGCTCTTCGCTTGTCTCAAGTAGAATTTTCTTCTTTAGCTGCGGAGTAGTGTACGTGAACGGCCACGTGATGCGAGTTTTCAGTCGTTTTATTACAGACGGAGATCAGTTCTAATACGCAGCTAAAACGCTGGTGTGGACGGAGATCGTCTAGTAGTGTGGAAGTAGCCTAAAGGTCTGAAATATACCCTGATATGACTGAATACAACCTTTTTGTTCTAATTATTAATACAACTGAATAAACAGTATAGAGAGACATTAGCAATGTAAATGGTAAACACATTTTAAATCATAAAAACATGCTGTTTATTGATATTTGTATATAAGTTAGTATTACGTCTCTTTTAAAGGGTTAGAGGAGAGTTAGTGTATTATTGTTGTTACAGACTGTATAGAGACGTCTCCCAGGACTCATTGTGGATGTAAATATAATCCATGCAGAACAATAACAAGGGTACCAGCCTTAATATAGAACAGACGCCGAGGCTGAGTGGGTTAAAGGTGACATTTCAGAGCAGCCGTGTAACAATCAGAGGGGAAGGAAAGTGTTAATGCTTTGTCTTAGTTTTCTCTCCCACACAGATTTTATTTGCTGAACAAATAGTTCAACAAATATTTTGCTGTTCTCGTTCTCAAACGATGATTTTCATCCGGAAATGAAATTTGTCAATGAAAATCGTCAGGCAAACGGCTAAACCAGTGGAACAAGCAGAGCTCCCAGTCAGACATCTGTGTAGTTTAAACAGTTCACACAGAAGAAGAAGAAGAAGAAACAGAAGATTATGTGTTGGAGGTGTTCGTACCTGACGTCTGGAAACTCTCTGACCAGAACGCCGACCTCCATCTGGATGGAGGGGACGTCTTCCAGCTGGATGATCTCTGAGATGTGAGACAGAGCGCTGTCCAACCAGCTGGACGGAGACTCCTGACGGACAGACAGATCCACCATCACACATGACCACTAACCCACTGAAGCCCGGGTCCACAATAAAAGCTCATGAATATCTCGTCTTAAATCGGACTGACCAGGTCTTTGAAGAGAACTTTGATCTGTTTGCCTTCGTCTCTGAGCCGGCCCGCCATCCTCTTCCTCATCTTCATAGAGGTGCAGATGATTCTGCCTCGCATGACCGAGCGAAGGTACTCCATCACCACCCTCCGATGGACCTCCGCCACCAGCAGCTGAGGGCGAGAGAGAGAGAGAGAGAGAGAGAGAGAGAGAGAGAGAGAGAGAGAGAGAGAGAGAGAGAGAGAGAGAGAGAGAGAGAGAGAGAGAGAGAGAGAGAGAGAGAGAGAGAGAGAGAGTGTTAAATAACAACGTACTGCCAGAACTGAAATGAGCACGGAATTAAAAAATGCTGCCTTGTTTAATTCTGTTCCATTTTATAGTTTTACATACAGAAATAATTACTGAAAGTCAAATTTTTTGCTGTTTCATCTTCATATTGTGACAGAAACAGGACATTGTGAAGCTCCAGGGGACACTTTAGGCAGACTTGTTAAAAAGAAGGGAGTTTTTATTGAGCAACGATTTTACAGGGAACTGTGTTAACTAGTTTCAGAAACTGCTGAATAATTCATCAAAACCGCGTGTTTGATGTGCACATAAGCACGGAGGTTTCAGTCTGAACATTTAACCAGGCATGCCTCCATATAGATGGATGTGAGTGTGTACCTGATAGGGAGGACTGTCCATCCTGTGATATTTCTTAAAGTGTTCTTTGATGAGCGCTTCAATCTGCTCGTACGGCTCCGCGTTGCTCAGCCACTTCCTCTTCACCAACCGCTCAAAGAAGGGCTGACAGACAGACACATCATTTTATTTTAATGATTTCCAGTTTTATTGATGTTCTTATTAAAACCTCTCTGAATGTTTTTCTCTGACTGTCAAACTGCAAAAGTGAAGAAGCTTAACCAGCACGTTTCGCCTATCAGGCTACATACAGCTTTCCTAACCTCATTGGTGGAGGTACGGAGTCTAAAAGGAACACCTGCAGGCACCACCCAGGGCTGAAAACGTGACCTCCACTTCCTCTGCATGTTTTTCGACCCACACACAATATCTTTAATATCTAACTCTGTTGTTGAAAAATGCTACACAAATAAATGTACCTTGCCTCACACCAACTTACACTTTAAAGTACACTTCTCTAATCTGAACAAACCAATCAAATCTCATCTATAAATTAGACTAAAGTAAGTGTTTTTAGTCTTTCCAGCGGTCCCTCTTTGTTTCGTCAGGCTGTGGATTCAACCTCAGGGGTCTGAAAAGGGAAGCCAATGCTGAAAAGACTTACACCTACATTCTCTCTAGCAGCCAGCAGGGGGCGACTCCAGCGGCTGCAGAAAGAAGTGTGATTGTCTAGAAGTCTCTGAGAAAATGTTTCTACTTCGTCCACTTCTTTTTATACCGTCTAAGGTTTCAAGTGTTAACATGCTCGGGTCATAGTCATAAAAAAAGATGCCGAGTTACTGTCACCATGTTTGTGTATTTGTGTGTATTTTTGTGTGTGTATTTCTAAGTTTGTACCCTGATGTGCAGGTAGAGGCGTTCAGAGAGCACTCTGACTCCTTGCTGGACGATGTGATCCAGAGCTTTGTTGGCTCGACGCAGAGAGTCCTCACTGACGGACGGATCACACTGAGCACAACGCTGCACGAACCCTCTGCACACACACACACACACACACACACACACAGATCAATAAATGGGGACTATGACTGGACACCTACCAACTGAGGACCACAGTCATCAACATCAACATTTAGAAACGATAAAGAAACTAGAGTGCTCCGAGCCTGAAGAGCCTATCAACAATTTAACGTGTGAAACATGTTAGTGCAGTGTTGGAGGACGTATCCAGATGTTCTACCTCATTAAAAGCACTAATACCACCATGTAAACTTAATTATAAGTAACAGTTCTGCATTGACAGTGTAAAGTAAAAGTATTTAAGGAAAAATGTATTAAAGTATTTAATGCAGAAAATGACCCAATGTGAGTGTATTATTATTATTATTATTATTATTATTATTATTATTATTATTATTATTATAGGATTACTATTGCTGATGCAGTTTGTCAAGCTGGACCTACCACTGGTTGTTAGTTAAATCTATAACAATGCATCATATATTATAAGCTTATATGTTATACTGGAGCAAGTAAATTCATTTTAATTTTTTTTTTCTGTACTTAAATGTACTTTGTTAAAGAGTTTAAACAGGTATGAAGAAGGAAAAGTTGCTGATGCTCAATGAAGCGCGTCAGTAAAACATAAAATCTAAAGTCTGCTTTGACATTTGTTTGTATTTTTCCACTTGCACAACAGAGACTACGGAGAAAAATGTGAAAAGAAACGTATAAGTATATTCCTGACAGTATTACTTTTCTCGTTTGGGAGCGCTCCTCTGCTAATCTAGTTACATCAGCTGGTTTGCTCACAGATTCATGAGTTTGCAGTCATTTCTGTACCTGAACGGAGGGCAGCAGTTGACCAAGGCGATGGTTTTGGACACATATCCGTCCTCGTTGTCTCCAAACATGCCGCTCTGCATCCCCTCATGAAACATCTCAACTTTACGCTGGAAACTAAAACAAGAGCGTTACAAACACAAGCATCGTAATATGGATCCTGATTAATCCTCCACAGCTCTGTCTTTATCGAAAGCTGTGTGCGTACCTGTACAGGAAGTCGGCAAAGCCATTGAGGCTGCACTGCGCCACTCTGGAGCCCAAAGATCTGTTTATGGAGGCCGAACGCTCCAGATCGACCTGCAGCCTCTGAAACGACAAACACGAAGTGAGTGGGATTTGTTTTATCATCTGTGAAGTTATCTGACATCCAAACCCAGAATATCCAGAATTCAGAGCCTGCAGAAGTCTTTACAGCACAGGTGAGACGTCATGTTATGGGCTGATATTTGTGTCATTAGAATCTGAATTATTTAAATCTGAATTACTCAACTTGAACAATTGCATTCAAAAACTGAATTTATATAGAATAGTTTGAATTTGTATTGGTTAACTTGATTAATTGTATTGAAAAACTGAATATGAACAGAGTAATTTGAAATTAAAGTGCTTTAAAGTAATTTGCTGGCTGTTGGAAATAATGCGGGCATGATCTGCACTCGATTACTTTTCCTGAAGGACCTTGATCTGTCTTTGACTTTGAAACTGAATCTTGTGGATTGAATTTGAATTGAGAGAACTGAAAGTGAAAGTACGTACATAAAAAGTAAAATTTTTAGTGAGGCTTAAATACAGTTTCAGTTGTAACTGAATTAAGTTTCATAATATTACATTCAGTTACAAGTTTATTGGAATTCAGTTTCAAACTAATAAATTCAATTTCAAATTAGGCTACTCAGATTCAGTTTTACAACACAATTATTCAAGTTAAACAATCATAACATAATAACAAATTCAGATTTAAATAATTCAAATTCATATTCTTCTGACACAAATATCAGCCCATATTACGTTGTCAATGTGTGTAATTTTAAAGGGCACGTTCAAGCATTCAGATGTCGGGGTGGTGATGAGGCAGTAAATAAGACATATGCCTTTGGTGTGAGAGACCCAAGTTCGAATCCACTGAGACACCAATGTGTCCTTGAGCAAGACACTTAACCCCTAGATTCTCCAGAGGCGTGCGACCCCTGACATATCTAGCAATTGTAAATCACTTTGGATAGAAGCGTCAGCTAAATTAATAAATTTAATGTAATGATTTTATACTGCTTGTTATACTTTCTTTGGCCACTAGAGGACAGCAGCTTGTTCAGTGGAGATGAATGAGGATGAAGAGTGTGTGTAAGAGAGAGATCAGGAAGTGTTTGGTGTTGACTTTGGCTGCGGTTGAAGGAAATACTCCAAAAACAATCAGTGTAAAAAAAACCCAGGGGAATCCACCTTCATGTAAAGCTTCACTCTGAGTCAATAACCTTTACTTAAACAGACAGGAAACACTGAGCAGAGCTGCTGGCTGGCGTTAAGATCCACCGGCTCAGAGACACACCTGCTGTAACCACGGTAACAGAGAGCGTGTACCTGTATGACGGTCTTGGCCAGAGTGATCTGGTACTCCTCGATGTGCAGAGACTCCATCCACCTTCTCTCCTCGTCGTCCAGGACCTGACTCAGCTCTGTGGTCACTTTAGCCTGCACAGGGAGGAGCCGCGGTTCAAAACAAACGCACTTCAAACATTTAACAACAAGCTGCAGGACGTTTTCAGGCAGCAGCAGACGTTACTTCCAAAATGTCCGTCATTATAGATTACTAGTTACTGTCATTTAAGAGTTTCTGAATGCTTTACACTTGTTTTATTTTAACTGCTGTTTAACGGGCGCATTATTCAGATGGTAACATGTGCAGCATTGGTGGGTTGTAGTGATGTACAGATCACAGTTATATCCGTGGATCTGGTGGGTCTTTGTCTAAAATGAACCTTCTGATTAATAGCGGGGGGGTGGATGGGTGAAATAGGACGAATCTTCTCCACATTAACAAAGACGCACAAATAAAAATGCACAGGCAAAAATGGCCAACTGTCAATATTTTAGAGACCCCAAAATTTCACAGATCCTGTTTTCAGGGGAGCTCCCGTCTTATCAAGAGGAGCCGAGCTCCCCCATATAGTTTGCACCCTGCCTACAATCTCAACCATCGGACTCCAGCAGCAGGAAATAACATTTCTCTTTTACTTGCAGAGTTTATTTTCTGCTGCCGAAATGTTTTGTGGTGTTGGTGAATTATTAAAAAAAAACAAAAAAAATTAATTCATTTTGTATTAAAATGCGCATGTAACGCACGTTACTGAAATTTTAACAGGTATAATATATTACCAACATGTTATTAGTACTGCATTATAGCCTAAAATAATACATTACTGTTATAGTGTTTAATGCTTCCCTGAAAATAACCTGTCTCAACTTTGCTGAAGCGTCAGCTGGTTCCATCATCAGCCGGTCAGAACCAAATACGTAAATACAGCTAGTGTGTTATAGAGCCGATATATCAGTTGCATTTAATCAGCATCAGCGTTTATAACAGCAGATATATGACTATTAAAAGAGACAGATCCTTCACTCAGGTCATGAGTGTTGCATAGTTTACCCACCAGAGGGTGCTGCAGCTCCTCTGTTAACAACACTGCTACCACAAAAAACACACACAAAAGAAAACAATCAGCTGACCAGAGCTTACACGCAGCATGTAGAAACACGCAGAGGGCTGTGTGAGCGGTGACTCGGTCATTTGTCACGTTAAATAATGACTTAAATATTAATAAAAACAGACACCCTCCTGTTTTTCACTGCCCTCTCCCGGCTCACAGCAGTTTCATGTTACGGTATCTGAGTGCTGGAGGCTGCCGACAGACGTGATTGTAGATTTATTTTGTGCAGGAAAGGGGTCTGCTATCCAAATCATTCTGAAAATCTAAATATTGGCTCACGAATCGGCTCTTTTTCATATTAATATCGGCATCGGCCCCCAAAACCCCACGTCGGTCGGGCTCTGGTGTGTAGCTTGTAGCACTGTGCTAACTTAAGTTCACCTGGTTCAAGACTTCTGAATCACAACACACCGCTCTGGTAATTTCTGTGAGTCAGGTGTTCACTGAAAGCTGTTCTGGCAGATTCTTCATGAAGGAAACAAACATTTTAAAGACACCTTCCAGCCCCAGAGGCAAAGTGTTCAGCCCTGAACACAATGATCAGCAGTTCCTGTTAACTCCTCGTCCATCAGTGTCTCCGCTTGTTTTAGCACTGACGTCTGAGACGACCAAATAAATCAGGGGGTTAATCAGGTTTCAATCAGCTCTGCATTGTTTCCGAACTCAGATCAATATTGAGGCACCACGCAGACGTCTCCATCCTGTCTCCAGATAGCTCACTCGGGGCGTTTTCCTTCTCCTGTCCTTCAGTTTTTGTTGTGTTTGAAGCGTGGTGTAAACAAAGAGTGTCTCACCCTGACGGAGTTGAGACAGTCCTGCTCCAGTCTGTCCACGGTCTCTGCAGGCAGCAGAGGGATGAGCTGAGAGCGGCTGAACGGACTCGTGATGCACACCGTCCCCAGAACGTCTCTGAAACAACACATAAAGTTCCTTTTTGTCATCGTCCACATAGCGAGTACACAAATGAATAAAATGCCGTTTCTCACGGCCCTACACAACACAGGAACATATGTTTAAACTTAAATATTCTACTCAAGAGTATGTAACCAGCGTGGAAGTGCCGTTTATATCGAGAGGACAGAATGGTAATAATTTCCCACAGAAACTCTCACAGGGGCCCCAAGAACCTTTTAAAGGAACTCAGACACTGAACCTCGGACCGGAGGGACCAGTTCAGTTCCGGATGTAGAAGAAGTCCCTGCTCCATTAGTTTATTCTAGAAGTACTAACAACAGGTTTCAGGGCTAACTGTCGCCGATTAGTCAAACACAGAAATAATGGGAGCAACAACTTTTGTACCGCTTCATTCACACCGCTCTGCGTTGGAGCGCTTGGAGAAGACAAGGACTTAAGGCCTTTTCACGTGGGAAGTGATGCGCGCCTCGTATTTAATTTTCAATGAGAGGCGAGCGTGTAGGAAGGGAGGCGCGGGCATTGCGACAGGTGTAGCGACAAGTGGGCGTGTTCATGTGAAACTGTCGCGGTCGTGCTCGTCTCACGCACACGGCCAAAGTTGAATTGACTTGAACTTTCTGTCTGTGACGCGCAGCACAAAAAGAAGATGGATGAGAGACTGATCCTCGCCGTCTGTGACTTATACAGGGCTTGACATTAACACCCGCCAAATGCGGGTGGATTTCATCTGTAGGTAACAGTCACTCCCACTTGCCACTTTGGCGTGTTGAAAATTTGTAGTGTTTCAAAAGGCATCTGAAATAACAAATTAATTGCTATTTGACACTACGACTCCCATGAGTACTACCTGCACATAGTGTTTGCTCATTGGTCCATTAGTGAAGCCTATCTTGACCGACAACACAGTAAACAAGTTGCCGCTGTGGAGAAAATGTGGCTAGTGAAAATGCTGCATTGCGGCCTGATCCGCTGGCCACCTGTGCGTTTACCTGTTGTAGATGTTGTGCAGCCAGTCCAGCAGCGAGTAGATGTCAGTGATCTCCAGCTGGTTGTCAGCGATGGCCTGCAGTCGCCTTGCAACCGCCTGGTGGTAGCTCTGCACGTACACCTGACAGGTCAAAGGTCAAAGTGAACATTTAGCCCTCAGTGTGGCCCCGGATACAGTCAGAGGAGCACCGGAGTTTGAAGGACACAGCAGCCGACTGCTCCGTCCTTCAAACTCTGACGCCAACGCAGCTGTGAAGAAGAGTCAGCCAGCTGCAGCTGATGGGTCTCATCACGTCAGTGTGCAGGTGTTTTCTCACCTGGAAGGGCTGGTACTCTTCGGGGTAAATGGACACCACGTTCCTCTTGGAGGCCCCCAGGTCATCCACCACCCGGGCTCGGAGCCGGTCCAGATACCCGTTGAGCTCTCCGGCGGTGAACTCTGCACTCTGAGGCAGAGAGCCGTCAGCAGCCTCCTCCACGGCCTCCCTCCACCTTTGCTTCAGTCGGCGAGGCCTCGGGCCACCGGGGGCCGCGGTCTCGCCGAGGGCCCAGTCTTTATCCACCTGCTCCTCCTGCTGCAGCACCTGCACACACAGACGGACGGACAGGCGGGTGAAGGCAGCACTGACTTACACTTCCTCTCTGTTCTGTAGCAGTAAGTGTTTCCTGTCTCACTGTCTGATGAAGGCAGAGAAATAATTAACTTTCGGTCGTTTGTGTTTCACTGTTCTGGTAGGAACCAGGAAAAGAGATCACATGTCTCCTGTTTTAGCTTCTTTGCATTGGCTTCCAGTAAAATCCAGAATAGAATTTAAAATCCTTCTTCTTACCTACAAAGCTCTTAATGGTCAGGCACCATCTTATCTTAAAGAGCTCATAGTACCTTACTACCCCACCAGAGCACTGCGCTCCCAGAATGCAGGGTTACTTGTGGTTCCTAGAGTCTCCAAAAGTAGACTAGGAGCCAGAGCGTTCAGCTATCAAGCTCCTCTCCTGTGGAACCAGGTTCCAGTTTGGGTTCAGGAGGCAGACACCATCTCCACATTTAAGACTTTCCTCTTTGATAAAGCTTATAGTTAGGGCTGGCTCAGGTGAGTCCTGAACCATCCCTTAGTTATGCTGCTATAGGCCTAGACTGCCGGGGGATTTCCCATGATGCACATGAGAAAAATCAGGCCCTACCTCACTCAGTACGCCACCCAGCTTCTGGTACAGGCCATGGTTCTCTCTCTGCCCTCCAAGCAGCTCTTCCAGCTTGGGCAGTGAAACTGCACAAAGGGACTCATGTCCCTCCATTACTCAGTGACCTCCACTGGCTCCCCGGGGCCTCCAGAATCAAATCCAAGTCCCTGATGCTGCATACAGAGCTACTCCTGGGTCCGCACCATCTACCTAAACTCCATAATCCAAGCCTACGTTCCTTCTGGGCCTCTACGCTCCTCCAACGAACGCCGCCTGGCTCTGCCATCCCATCACACAAAGCGACCTCAGTCCCTGTTCTCATCTGTGACGCCACGATGGTGGAACGAGCTGCCTCACGCCGTCAGAGCAGCGGCGTCCCTCTCTGACTTCAAGAAGCTCCTGAGAGAACACTTCCTCTGATAACACCTCTAACCTCTGACATCACTTCCTGTGCTCTTCTTCTTCTGTCTCCTCGCAGTTCTCCTGTAGTGATTACACTGTTTCATTGACTCTTACTTCTTCCCCTGGGTATTTACCCCATTGATGCTGTGCTAACAGCTCTTATTAGTATCTGTTGTCACTTGTAGATCTCTTAATTTACTGAGGTTTGTATGTTGTTTCTTAAATGTAAGATATTTAGATCATTCTGCCAAATGAGTAAATGAATTTTCACTCGGGGTTCCCAGAGTGTCCCACCGCCACCTTGTTGCACAGTGTGCACGCTGAAATGTTAATGCACTTTATTTTATAACCTAAAGGGTCTTTAATGTAATAGTTAAATCCTCCTCACCTGAACCACCAGGCCCAGGTTTGGCCCGGCCGTCGGGGAGCGCAGAGACTCCCTGACCACGGCCCACAGCTCCTTCTGCAGCTCCTCATACAGCAGCTCCACGTCCTTCGCCTTCCTCCGCCCGCCGTCTTTGACACTCGGGCTGGTGGCGTCCTCCGGCTGCGGCGCAGCGCCCCGGTCGGCCGCGGCGGACTCGTTACACTCCTGCTCCAGCTCCAGGATGTGAGTGTCGGCCAACAAGAGGTCCCGCTTCTTCACCAGCTGCAGGATCTCCAGGACTGAAGGAGCGACACAGAACACAGTCAGCCAAAGCAGTCAGGTGCAGAAACAACATGTATATTACTACTTATAAAACATCGGAGTACATCTTCCCTCCTGTAAGCTGTGTTGGGCAGTAACAGTAAATCACCATTATTTTAAGGGATAACTATTTCAAAAATAGTAATAATATTACAGTTACTAATCCAAGTAACGAGAACTGTCCCTGACTGGACGGCAGAGCTCAGAGCCTTGAGACTCGACTCGGACTCCAGCTCAGAGCCTTGAGACTCGACTGAGACTCGACTCGGACTCCAGCTCAGAGACTTGAGACTCGACTCGGACTCCAGCTCAGAGACTTGAGACTCGGACTCGGACTCCAGCTCAGAGACTTGAGACTCGGACTCGGACTCCAGCTCAGAGACTTGAGACTCGGACTCGGACTCCAGCTCAGAGACTTGAGACTCGGACTCGGACTCCAGCTCAGAGACTTGAGACTCGGACTCGGACTCCAGCTCAGAGACTTGAGACTCGGACTCGGACTCCAGCTCAGAGACTTGAGAGCATTTCATTCATGTTTTCATCGTTGACTCCTCAGGTTAATTATTGTTCCAGTAAAGTGGATTCTTTTGTAAAATGAGCTGCTGAACAGGCTGCTCCTCAAGGCGGGGGGTAGTGAAAGTAACAGTAACATAACGAGTAACGTAACAAATACCCAGTAAAGTAATATTACTTTTTTAAGGAGTAATAAGGAAAAAGTAAGTTATTACGCTTCCTGAGTAACACTGCTGTGACCTCTTCAGTGAACTCTTGTTGAAGGTCAGACGCTCCACAATGAACAACTGATTCAACAGCTGTTCATCAAAAGGCAAACACACTCCGCCGTGTGTGTGTATGTGTGTTTGTGTGTGTCCTGACTGCACTCTGGAGGTGGGTTCGTTTGATTTGAACATCAAAGCAGCCGGAGGGACGGAGCCGGAGGTTCCCACAGAATCCCTGATCAGGTTTCTCCTCATTTTAAGATGCTGAATAACACTGAGAGCTTCCTGGGAGGTTTGAGCACATTTAAATTCAGCCGGGGAGTCTTTCCCGACCTCAGGGGGGGAAATATCCTGAACACAAGCTCCACAGCTGTTCCTGCAGCTGAAGGTTGTTTCATTTGGTTGAAAGCTGCAGGAACAGATCAGTAAGTGGACAAACATTAACTGCTGATTAAACTTCACAGATTATTCAGAAGATTCACTGAAGTCAGGTGTGGGAGAAGCTGCTGCTCACATCTCTGTGTCCTTTTGCACATGAACGGTTCATTTGCTCTAAACTCAACTGTTAGATAACAAATAGTACAACTTAAAATTGTGGCTTTGGTGGTCAACTAAGAAAAAAAAGACTTATTTTTATTGCTACTGTTCTTCATGATGAAGAAGAACAACGATACACTTGACTTTTCTAACGAACGGTCAAACTGAAGCACGGTGTCCCCGAGTCTCAGCCCCCCTGAAGAACTGACTCAGCCCAGCAAACAGGACGTCTACTCTGATCCTCCGGAGACTGCAGGGCGGGTCTGAGGTCAGGATGATGTCGTTCAGGGAGGATCCTCTTACTGTCAGGGCTGTGATGTCACTGTGATGACCTCATCCAGTTGGACCGTTTACAGACAGCGGGCTGAGATCACAGAGCTGTCAGGTGGACGGGACGGGAGGACGAGTCTTTCCCTGTAGAATTTCTCTGCAGCCACGTTCAGACTGGACCAGGGTTATAATAAGTTTTATTTTTCACTAGTTCTTGTTTTCAAGTTCAGTTTCAATACGTTTTAGCCTTTTGTTGTAATATGGAACTCTGCCATCATGACACCAGGCAAGGGGCGTAGACAAAAAACTGCCACAGCTAAGAAACTTGACGATTTCATGTTCACCCAAAATCTTAATTTTTTGTTTGCCCAGCCTGTTTTCATTCCCAGAGCGTCAAAGAGCTGCACATCCTTCAGCGTCCGGTACCAAAAGACATGTGGCACACTTTCGCGTCATTAGTTCAATGTACTGGGGGAAACACTTCAGAGCCAATCGTTGTGTTTCCATTAACGCATTTTGAAGTATTGCGTCAAAAAAGGTGGATGGAAGCAGCAAAATTCAAAAAAATGTCTTCAATTTGAAAAATATGTTTTTGCACTCATATGATGTGATTTTTGTCTTTTTGGAAAAATAGTTAAAGCGCTAAATGGGAGATGGAAACATCTTTGCCGAATACGTTCTGCCGTTTCCGCTGTCGGCGTCTTCCTAGATTTTACCATAACGCACAGAAACATGGCTGGTAGCAACTTGTCAACTTATACTGTTGCGTGGTACTGACTCGAGGAGGCGTCGGTGAGTGAGGTTCACTCACTGCACAGCCTCACTAGTTTCCGTTAACCTAAAAATACGCCTGGTCTCTCACATCAAAGGCGTGTGTCTTATCCACTGCACCATCACCCCCAAAACGTGCCTATTTTGCATTTTCTTTTTTGCTACATTTTAAAAATTCGCTTGAAATTTGCTTGACAATCAGATGGAAACGCGGCTAATGTTCAACACCAGAAGTAATACCATAAATAACAGAAACATCCAAACATCCGGGTTGGTTCGGAAACCGGACTTTCCCCGAGGAGGTCGTGTTTGTTTCCAGTGTGAAACAAAAAGTCAACATCGATTCCTTTTAGTGATGTTACCTAAGTTACGTAATTTAAGTATTTTTAGCCAAGCCATGATCTTTTCCTAAAACTAACATTGACCACTAGTTTCATTGTGAAAGTTTAACCAGTAGTTGTGTATTTATATTTGCTAACTTGACCGTGGAGGCCTACATGGGGAATAACAATGCCAAAGGGAACCCAGGGTGCTAAAAAGCAGGGATGAGAACCGGTTGTTAGGCCCTATGAACTGACAAAGACGATTTTACTCTGTAACTTTATTTTAGCTGAAGTTAGTTTAGCAAACAGACAGTTTCAGTTGGTTATTGTTTTTTTGTAAAGCGTTGTTTTTATTTTCATTACCGATAATAACCGTGGTCTGGTCACTGATTTTAATCCCGTCCTGAGCTCGTATGTCGGCCATCTTTAATCCCCCTTTTATCCCTTCTCCTGCATTTTTATCAGCTCAGTGCGAAATTTGATTTTTGTGTGAAAATGGAGGAAATTAAAAATGTGTCCGCTAATCTCATAGATGCTAACACGCTAACGCTAATATACATTATAGGCATATTTGGGAACCAATACGACCACAGAAACAACTCAAGTCATCAGACGAGGAAGATCACGTAAAAACTCACTATATGTGCTGCAGTAAAGTCAGTTTACAGCTGCTAGTCTGTGTTTGTAAACTACAGTTTACACGTTTCCATTAGAGCTGTTGTCAAGATAAAAAAAAAAAAAAAATAGTCAGATCATTCAATATGGACAACGGACCCTTCGCTAAGCCACGCCCTGAACACAGAGCTGGCCAATCACAGCGCAGTGTAGGTACTGAGGTCCGACACTTTCATGGCTGCGCTCCATTGACTCTAATGCACGATGAGAATCCGTCTGAGTCAGCCTGAATAAAACCTTCAAATGATGCATGATGCAACTGCAAAACTGTCTGCTTCTTACCGAGATCGCTTTTTCCAACAAATTTGACAACATTTCTCCGGGGAGTGCAGTAATAGACAGTAGCAGCGGCGACAGTTTGTCGGACTTCGCAAAAGTAACTAAGTGGGGCGGGGCTTAGCGAAGGGTCTATTATCAGGATGAAAGTCAAATCATTATTTCTTTCAGGTTTAAAGGCTGATTTTTGCTCCTGAGTTAAAGTTAATGTGGTTTTAAACGTTTCTTTCTGGTCAGAACAAACACTTGATGCCAAACAGTGGATCACTTCACAAATATGAGGCAGAACATTCAGAACTATTCTGATAAAAGTCAAATTGTCCCTGTTAAACGTAGCTGAATTAGCTGTTAGCAGCTGGATCTCTGAGATACTGAAGAAAACGTGGACGTTTGCTCTGGACGGACATCTGAGATAATGGCATTATCGGGAAGTGGAAGTCACTCTGAATGATTCAACACGTGTGTTTCACGTCCTTGTGTTTGGATTTGAAGGCGAACGTCACTGAAATGAAGTCTTAAACAGAGTCAAACCAGAAACAGGCCTGACGCAGGAAACATGACTCAGTTATTCATCATATCGCAATACTGCAGCAGCCAGACAATACACACAGTCACACCAGGAAATACACACTAACACACATGCGTCAGAGGAGAGCGCTTCTCCAAGGCCACTCTTTCAAAATAAAAGCCTTCTGCGGGGCACACATACTGCAGTTAATGTGAGCATGTGAGGCCTCCAGATGTCTTCACCTCAGTGCCAACAGAGGAAAACACACAGTGACAGCCCAGAGGAAGGATCATCGCTATAAACAGAACAATGTGAGGGGAACATCTCGGCTTTGAACGCACATTTGAGTCTTTCATGTTACTTGTTTGTTTCCTGCAGCGGTGAGGAGGTCAGAGGTCACAGTATTAAAGCCTGCTCACAGCTCAGGTTCAGGAGAGAGTTGCCGCGGCTTCCTGTAAACATGTCGGGAGGTGTGTGTTCATGCTCTCTACCTGAGGAGCTGAACACCTGCCCCGTTTGTCCTCTTCTCCTCAGCGCCATCAGCAAGTTACTTGTCATTTAAGAGTTTTTACTTTCCTCGCGGCCGAGCAGCTGAAGGGACCGATCTGAAAGTGTTCCAGGCTCCTGCAGAGTAAACTGATGACATGAAAACGAGCTCAGGACGAGAGGTCAAATCATCAATTCACTTGTTATCAAAACTGCATCACACATCTACATGTAAACGTCTTTTTTCTTGAAATTGCTCCTTGTTTGTTTAAGTTTTTCTTTTTTTTTTTTCTAACGGCGGCTTCCCCGTGTATAACGTCACAACGCTCTGAACTGTGGGTAATTCCCTCAGGCAAAATCTGCAGAGTCATGGAAAGTCTGTAGACAGAGCCCTCACGCACCTGACGAGTTGA